TCTCGTCGCAAACATACAATGTCCTCATTGCGGAGCATTGGTTAACTTCGGCAATGGCCGAATGCATCTAACTTTTTTGTCCATCTGTATGTACAATCAATCGGTTACGCGTCAAATTTTTTGTTTTTTTCTTCTTTTAAATTTTAACCCAGATTTTCCTGCAATTATGTAAAATGTTTTCAAAGCGTTTGGCGTTATGTTAACCAACAACAACATCAACAACTTTTAAGGCTTCCACCTACAACTTCCTAAACGTTCTAAAATCGTGCTTCAACCGTATACCTACATACATATATAACACGGATGTAAATTTCGGTAATGTTACAGTACACATTCTACACCAAACTTTCTAAAAACAAAAATCCCAACTAAATATTCATCATTTCATTAACCTATAAATGCTTTTCATCCTTTGAATTTTTTTTTCTAACTTACTTATTTTACTTTCGTTATTTATGTTAACGATTTTTCCTTTAACTTTAACCACACCATTAGATAGTTGCAAAAAAAAAAAATGCAATTTTCTTCCTTCCAAACAGTGACGTCTTCAATACATACATAGCTAGTTGGCAGAGCAAAAGTGCGAGCATATCAACGTTGGTCGTCCTCCCATTCACTCATTAAAATTGGGCTTTTCTCTTCTAATCCTTTTTTTGCAGGTTTTACGCGCATCCATGTTACGTTTTCGAATGTGAAAGAGCCCATTACAACTACAAAAGTGCTATCCACAGCAACTGTCTACCCCCCCGACACATCTGCCACATAATTCTTATAGTACCACCATACATACATACATACTTATTTACATACTACATAAATTTATAGTTTCCCGATAAATCCACACACATGTATATCTATGCACACGAAACATAAACACAAACTTAGGTTAAGTGAAATCACCTAGAGATAGTATTTATTTGTAAATTTAAGCGGTGCGGTTATTTTTTAATTTCTTATATTTAGTCGTAATTAGTTGTAAGTGCCTACAAAACCCAAAATTTGTAATAGTTGCATTTAAAAAATTATAGCGCAAGGCGTAAACAATAATTCTAGAAATGGCAGGAGATTACTTTGAGATGTATGCATGTACGTATTATGTATTTTTGTTAAGGGATGTAGATCCTTGAATGAGACGTTGTGAAGTTAGCTTGCGTATTAAGTTTGTGTGTGAAAAAGGACATTTCTACACGGATATTTCAGAATCAGTTCACGGCTAGTTTAGGACCATTTCGAGCTCTGTTCGGGACTATTTCAGAACCATTTGGGAGCTAGTTCGGGATCATTTCGAGACAAGTTCAGGAGGACCATTTGATGCCTAGTCCTGGACCATTTCGATACTATGTAGTTCAGGACTATTTCGGGATACATTTGGGACTAATAAGGGAGATTTGTTCGAGATCATTTCTGGACAAGTTCACAACTTTTTCGACTGCGTCGGCGCCTGTTCAAGGCTATTTCTGGACTAAGTCATCACTATTGAGGACTTGTTCGGGTTCATTTCGATCTGGGCTAGTGCAGTACTATTTCCGGAACTTTTTGAAACTAGTTCTGGGTCATTTAAGGACTAGTTCAGGAGCATTTCGGCACTAGTTCGGGATCATTTTGGGACGAGTAAGGCACATTTTCTGTGTACCGGTCCAAACAAAATGAAATGAAATGAAGTTAATGTTGAAATACCTAATGCTTTGCAAGGCATACGTAGATGTTTTTTTTTGCACGCCTCTTACCACCAGTTACACATGTTGACAGGTCCTTTATTTTGCCTAAGAAACTAGAATAAAAAAAAAAAATCGTTCTCAATGATATATTCCTCCAAGAAGCCTAAGCTTAAGTTTCCGGGAACTAAAGGCTTAAGCAACACATATTTTCCTAAGTGCTTAACCGAGCTTTTCCTCAAAATAAAAAAATTATGTAGAGTGTAACCTCATTCATTGAAATCTTGTCAACTTTTTCTTGGAGCTTAATCGCTTTCTGAAGCCACAAAACTCAAGTCGAAACTAGAAGAGTACTTAAGGCAGTAATGTAGATTTCAAAAAAACTTGGTAGATCTCATTTTTAACATAGTTTATTATGTTTTATTTATTAAGAAACAGAAAATGTAATAAGTACCTATGCTGTCGGACAAAATAACCGGGTCACGACATTTTGGCAGGTTTTGACTATTTTTCTTTGTTTTTGTTTAATGTTCATTAATATTTTTTATACTATAGCTTATTATCTAACAAAAATTTTGAAAACTATAAAAAAATTGCATATTTAATGTAAAGTGCAAACTTTTTATTTGAATTTCTTGATAAAATTTTGGTATGAAGCTAGTTTTAGTATAAAATGTGGAAGTTTGAAGTTGGTGAAAATTGCTTTAATTTTTGGAAATTTTTCTTTTGACGAATTTCCTTCTATAAAAAAGTGTTTGAATATACTTTGAAAGATTTCTACAACTTTGCAGAGTACTGCCGGCTTCTTTTATCACATAGTCTTTAGTGTTGGAAAATATTTTGCTCTTGGAATTAAAACCGGTAATTTTTAAGCAAAAAACAAAACCGCTTTAATTCTCATACAAAAATTTAAGATTATACTATACAATAAGCTCGCTCACGATGAATAATAGTTGCAATCCCGTACGAATCCGGACTAGTCAGAAATAGTCAGAATCAGTCAGATTTTACTGGAAATCGATCCTGTACTCGGTTCTCTGACTATTGAGAGGACAAAAAAGGGAGTAAATACGGTTCTCTCTCTGTCAGAAGTTACCAGTTTTAGGCCGAGAAGTTTTTGCTGGTAAATTCTGGTAAATGTGTCAAACGATCGGCTGTAGTGTGTTTGGCAACCAAATTGTAAACAAAAGAAAAGTGCACCCTGCTAATTCATGTTAAAAAAAATTTAATCACTTGTTTAAGTGGATTTTAATGAATTTGAAAGTATTTTTGGTTATTTACATGTATGAGCTGAGTGTGTTTACATGCAAAATAAGCAAAAATTTACAACCAAAATTTTGAGGTTATGTTGAAGTTGACAGAAGTTACCATTTTTTTCTAGAAAGCGATCCCGTACTTTTCAATGTTACTCTCTCGCTCTGAGCGAATTTTTATTTTTTGACAGTTTTACTAGTCCGAGTCCGAGGAATACGGGATTGCACCTAATATTTTGTCTAGCAACTAATGAAGTCTACAGTCGTATCAAAAATTCCGTAAAGGTATCCTTCGGCTCCACTGCTCTTTTGAACTTTTGCTGCTTTTGTGCTCGTACTATTTCTTCTCAATGTATGTACTAGTGTGTGTATGTATGCGTGCGTGCGTGCGTACCAACATTTCTGCGGTCATAAGCAATAACCGCCTAATTGAATTGTAATGTTAGCCTTATGGGAAGACGAAAACATTTTCGCCTATAACTTTTTAAATAGCCCAGCTGGCGAGATGGGGAAATCACGTATGCATGGAATAGGAGTTGAAGAATACGCTAGCATATATAACTCCATTCATTCTTAAGTCGACTTAGGCGTTTATTGCTTATGACCACAGATTTATGGGGAAAGTGGTATTAAGAGGTAGCGTGTGGATGCGACGATTGCTTGTAATGCACTCAAAGTAATTTCCCCTACTCATCATCCAAAACGAAAATCCATGTCTGTATTAATTTTTAATTATTGCTATCCTTTTACATTTGGTTGCAAAACGCATACTCACATACATACAATAAAATGGAGACGCAAATATTAATGAATACCATGATTCAATAATGAAAGGTTTTGTAAGAAAAACTTTCTCTCGCTCTAATTTTATCAATGACACTCCCACCCTACTCCCAAAAACAAAAACAGTGATATTTCTTTTCCAAATTTCTTTGCAGGTTTTAAGAACATTTTTAATTTTTTAGTAGTGAAATTTTTACTTTTTAAATTTAGTAGTGAACTTTTTACTTAATTGCACACTTACGACACTTCTCGTTTGACGATGTAGATTACGTTCCCTGTCTCAGTCGTTCAGTAGCTGCGTGTCCTTTTTATTCTTCCTGTCGTCCGGCACGAAGCGCCAATCGCGACTGTATAAACTAATGTTTAATATTCTGACGGCGGCATAATCTCCCCAGAACACTAAAAGTGCAATATCAAGGAATTCGAATTAGCATATTCGAAGCAATCGAGCTATAATCGCGAAAGAATCGCAAGCTCCAAATGTTTTTATTTGGCATTTTTTAATCAAAACTCCATAATTTTTCCACAAAAAAATAGCTTCTTCATATCTATCTAATGTAAATGGTACCGCAAAGAATTTACAAGGCAGACAAGCAATAAAAAAAAATAGCTCTAAGGGGACCATCCATTCTTGAGTTATACGCCGTCTGACGTACGCAACTTTGGTATATTCATAGCAAAATTTATTTTTAATAACAATCAGAGGTTATATTTGATGTAAATAAGCTGGTTTAAATTAAATAATTAAATCAAATTCGTTTTTGTATTAAAACACCACGATGCACCATTCCACGATGCATCCACGCCTTTTTGTAGAATTTCGCTACCATTTAGGAAGTGTGATTGAATTCTTCCCCTTTTTCTCCTTCTTCCAAAAACCATCCCTGTGGGTGGGAGTGTCAAATTTTAGAAAATAGCTACTTACAAAACCTTTAATAGTTGAATCATGAATGAATACAAACAATTTGGCTGGTGAAAAATAGAAAATGAAAAAAAAATTATGTATTTTAATTGGAAACAACCAAAATTAATAAATAGACACTATAGTTCTAACATATAGATTTGAACCAAATTAGTATAAGTCCCTAGCATATTTGACCTAGCAGTAAGCGTATATTTAAGTTTTCGTTAAAATATATATTAACATATATTTTTCAATACCAAAACAAAAAAGAGTAACTTAATATGTTTGTCCACATTTTCAATGACATATAGTTTTTATTTTATTTTTATTTTCTTAACAAACGACATTTTACCACTGCTTCAACCTATCTGGGCGTTATTAACGGATTCTTATGTATATTTGTAGATGCTGGCACATTCATGGATACATCGAACCCCTTGGCCCCACCAATGGGCGGAGCTGGTGGCGCAGTACTTTGGCCAGCGCCAGAAACCAAACATGAAATCGATTCAGGTATGATGCCGCCACCAATCACTACACAAATGCCGATGGGCGTGCGACGCCCTTCATTGCCCACAGCCACACCCATGCTGACAGATCAACAGTTGGCCCATCTAAATGTTGCCGAAACACTCAAGACTGAGCTGATCGACGAAACGTCGCAAAGTTCTTTGGCTGAGTCGATACAGCCGACAGATGCCGTTATGGCCAATTGTGGCGCACCCATCAGTCCCACAGCTGCCATGCAGTTTCACTCACACTATGACCGCAAAACTAGCATGGACACAATGATGTATGATTCGAACAGCATGCCGGCCTTTCCAGTACCGCCGCCACCTTCCGTAGCAGCTGCTGTTGAGTTGGCCGTCAAGACGGAAATCGCTAAAGTTGTGGCACAGCAACAGCAGGCAGTCGCAGTGGACAAATTCATCACCGATTTGACCAAATCCACCGCAGTGGCAGACGACCTGAATGTGGCCGCCGTGGTTGCTGCAGCGGCTGCGGAGGAGTCGCTTTTCGGTGGCGTTGGTGGTGTTAATAGCGCCGTTGGTCCGGTCATTGATCATCCGTTCGGTGATATTATGCAGCAGGCAAATGCACAGCAACAGCCTCCTGTACTCGAACGCAGCTTATCCATATCGAGCAACTCTTCCTCTCACTCCAACAGCTCGAGCGGTTCTTCGCCCCACAACAGCTTGACAGCTACGCTTTCGGTATCGCCGAATAATTCGCTGAATGGTCATAATTCTCCCATCACCCAGGATATTATATTGAACTCGGACCCCGCCGCTGTGCTGAATGCCATGCCAATGCAACAACTCTTGCCCGCTCCACTGGGTGGCAACAGCGCTGCAGCCGTTTCAGCCAACGCAGTGGTCGAAGCTGCCGTTGCCGTTCCAGGTGGAACGACCACTGGCGCAGCAGTCGCCGATCCCAATAGTATCTCCACTGAAATGATCATGAATCCCGCAGTTTCACCGTCCACTATTTTGTGTTCAGCTAATGGTGCTGCCACTGCGGTGGTGCCGAATATCATGGCGCCACACCAAGTCACCATGGCCAATTCGATTTTGAATGACATTGCAATGCAGCCGCAGCCAACACAACAAGATGCTGCCGTGGCAGCGCTTGCGCTCAGCAATATTATAATGAGTCCGCCGAATACGGCTGCTGCGGTGGTTGATAATGTTGCCAATGCGGAACAGGCAGCTGAACAACCTGTGACTGTGGCAACATCCACTGCTGTCAGTAATATGATTATTAAAGCTGCGGCCGATTTAATATCTAATCAGGAGCAACAACAACATCATCAGCAGCAACAACAACATCACCAGCAGCAACAACAACACCAACACCGACAGCAGCAACATCGCCTTCAGCAACAGCATCAGCAGCAGCAGCAGCAGCAGCAACTTCATCATCAACAACAACAACAGCAGCAGCAACAGTCACCGCAAGCATTGATGAATGGCGCGGCAGCAGCAGCTGCAGCAGCAGCGGCGGCGGCAGCGGCAGCAGCAGCAGCCTCAAATGCCAATACAAGTCCCTTAGTTAACTTGCTTTTAAACCACCCAGACGTGTCGCCATCTGCAGCAGTCGCGGCAGCAGCAGCGGTCAATGAAGTTCAGTCACAATTCTCTTTGGGCATGTAAGTGTCACTTAACTATAATTTATACCCTACTACAATTTTTGAATATGTATGCTTATTCATCATTCTCTCTCTGTTCGACCACAGTCCTCCCACAACGCCACAGGAATCTCTCATCGTCGCATTGGCCACGGAAAATTCTATGCAAAAATCAGTAGCAGCCGCTGCCGTGACTACAAATGGTGCCATCGTTACTCAACAAACATCAGCTGCGGCGGCAGGCATTCATCCTGGCGCTGCGGTCGGACCTGTACCTCTTCAACCGCCTATTCCGCAAGAATTGACCACTATGTCAGATCAAGACTTGATTAGCTACATTAATCCAAGCACATTTGACCAAAGTGAGTATACATTTTTTGTGTTGATTTCTTGTTTGGTAATAATAATTGATCGACATATCTAAAGGGATATGGGTTTTGTTATAAAATATGTCATATTTTTATATAAAAAAATTAATGAGTTTTAAATAAACAAAGGGAAAACTGTGAGTACTGAGGATTAAAAGGGCTGCTATTCTCGACGGCTGAGTGGGAGATCGCCTCATCTCGGCTGCCGGTTCAAAAACCCTATCCCAGTGTATTGAATTTACATTGATATACGAAATTTTCACAATATTTTATTATTTATTATATATTATTATTTATTATATACTATTATTTATTATATATTATTATTTAGTAAGTTTGTCACCCTTTTATAAAGTTTTATTTATTATTTTTTCCTCTGCCAAATCACTTTCTCTCCCAAACTCATCATTGGATCTTTTACCATTTTACCGTTTACCGTACCATTGTTTTTTTTTTAAAGCGAGTTTTTTTCAGAGAGCAGAATTAAAAATCAAGAGTCGAATGGAGTAGATGTCCAGATTTAATTTATTCATTACGGTTAAAAATTAACGATTTTGCAATGATCTAAAAATAAAAGTCTTTATATTCAACGGTTTTTTTTCGGTCCCTCATCTATGGTTTTAATCGTATGATGGCAATTTGCAGACTATTGTAAAATTTTGCGCAAGCTGCGCCATTTAGTTTTTGTTTAACAGCCATTGAAAGCAGACGACAACCTAGGGAATTTTAACGAAAATTGTAAAAAGTGATTTTCATGTGCTCATTAAGCATTATTTTTTGTGTGTAAAAATTCATTACCGAAACCATGGAAAGGCTTAATAAATACTATATGGATTCTGCACCATGTCGTTGTTGACCCCGCCGCACAGTGGTTTAGGTCCATACATTGTTTGGAGAAAATTAGAAGGAATAGGCGTAGGGCTTCAATTTTTCATATGTTACCTCTAACTTAGTGTTGGCAAAATGTTTATCTGATTAACGATTAAAACGTTAATCGCGATTGTCTCCAAACCAAATTTGACAAGGGATGACGGAAAATCGTTCCACATTTACATCACACTCCTACCCTGTCGGAAACACCAACAACGAAAATGAGAATTAAATTAATTAATATTAGTCAACTGTACGATTAATGATTACAGGGCTCGAATCGTAACATCCGTTCACGGGTCGAAAACCATATGAAAGAAAATTACGTGATACCGTCAGTCGTATAAGCTAAATGGGGTAAAAAGTACGTTCACGTATGTCATAATCCGAAAACTGTGTTTTTACGTGACGAGTAATACGATCTCGTATGTGACGATTCGAGCCCTGATTAATTAATTTTAATCATTAATCGTCAATCCAATTAAAAATAAAATCTGATTAAGCTGTCTAGCTGACAGTTATAGTAATTATTTTGTGTTTTACGCTTATAAAAACACATAATATAAAAAAATATATAATTATTGTTATTAGTAATATTTAAACTGGGAACTTTTACAAACTAGCGCACACGTGCAGAGGAATATTAAAACCAAGTTTATAAATCGTCTGTTGGAATAGATCTTAATGAAAATTCGCACCAAATTGCTTAAACTGATGAGAAAAACCGACTTGGCCATACCCGATTAACTGGACTTGGAAAATTCCAGCATAAATTAATTAATCACCAAACCGAATTAATCAAATTAAGGGTTAATGATTAAAAATTAATTATTTTAATCGCGGTTACGATTAACTGTTTAATCAGATTAAAACTAATCATGATTGACTGTAATCGGATTGTATTTAGTCGAATTAATTAAAAAATCCATCGATTAATATCAACACTTCCTCTAAGGACATAAATCAAGAAAAATCCCAAAAATGAGTGTGATCGGTTTATTTAAAAGCATACCTCCCATACAAACCTAACCTCAAAAACGCTTTAAAAATGTCATTCAAAGGGCACCAATGAATGAAGGACTCCGAAATATCGTCCGTATATTAACAATAATGGAGTAAGTAAACATAAACAAAATTAGCAAAATCGATTTGCTTTAACGCGTACCTCCCATACAAACCTAATCTCAAAAAGATGTTATTAAAAGCGCAGCGATGAATGCACGACTCCGAAACTTTGGCCATATATTTTTGATGATAACATAAACAAAAACCCTTAAAATGGCTGTAATCGGTTTATTTTTACTTAAACTTAAAAAACTTAAAAAAGCTATTAGAAGGTATAGAAAAGTCTTCGTATTATACAAACTGCATACTTATAAGAATGGTGCCTCACGGTGGTAAAACTGTATAGCCTTCAAGTTTAAAAAACAGATGTTTTTTTACTCTCTATGCAGCATGCCACTTGTTTGTAAAAGTAGGAAAACAAATTTACTTAGCCAAGTATACATTTTTTCAATAACTCTTCTGAAAGGTTTGGATATTTATTTTTAAAGTTTTCGGTACACTTATGCTCTTCACGATTTTCGATTAAAATTACTATACAAAAAGAATTGCAGCTGGAATAGATTACATATTAATCCTTACTAGTATAGAAGTAATTAGTGCTGTATCACAACAAAACGGTCGGAACAGAAAAAAAGATGTAGTCCATTGAATTAATAATTGACGAACAGCTAGGATAAAGTATTGATGTATTTAAATGTTAAGTGTCAGTTTAAGAATGTGATGTCCATAAAATAATTAATGTGATGTTATGTTATTATAAATATGTTAAGGTATGTTCGAAAAAAAAATGTTTTTGCATACACGTTTGTTATGTTTTCTTGTAAAAATAAATAGACTCCCTGAGGAAGACACAATAATGTGTCGAAACGTGTAGTAGGCGGAAAAGAAAAACCAACGTTTTTGCTTTAAAATCAACGGTCGAAAAGCTCCAAATATACAACTCTTATAATAGCCTTTAGTTTATAAGTGTTTTCATATGTTAAATTGATGTTACTTTATAATTTTAACTACCAATGTCACAAACAATAGTTAATATTCAATAGTAAATAACTAGATGTGCAAAATGGACCATTCGGATTCCGCCTGCCCTACACCAATGATTGTGTGGTAAAAACTTAAAAATTTGGAAGCTGATTTCGTAACAAAAACCGTTTTATTATTTTCCCTAGTTATGTTATGGCCCATAATATTCCGTGGCATTGAACTATCTGAAGAAGAGTCCGGAAATATAACAGGAATGAGTTTTTTTTGGGGCATGAAAGGTAGCTAAATAATAATAAATAAAGTAATCGGACAAACTGAACGTTCTATCGAAGATGTTTAAAATAGGGGTAAAACCACCGCTGCTTACCATGTAGCGGTAGTTTTCGGAAAGATGAAAAACATACTATACTTAATACTTGCGCCGAGTATTTAATGTTTGGCTCCGCCCGAACTTAGACTTTCTTACTTGTTTATTTTCATTTAAGGAAAAGAGTAACAACAATTCAACCATTGCAGTACATTCATACTAAGCATGAAAAGAAAAGTAATGCTGGGTTGCTCGAGAACAATCTCCACCTGATATGGCTACCTTGGCATGATCAATCTTTTTCAAAGTACTGCAGCCTCTGCTCCGTTAATCCTGGACCCTCAACATTGGGCACATCCTTACTTGGTTTGACAAGTTATATCATTTTAGACCATATTGTTTCTACTGGATTTAGCATAGGCGAAGGTACAACTTATAATCTCAAATTGGAAATTTCTGAATTTGAAATGAAAGCTGTCTGAACTTGAGTTGTATCTTTCTGAATTTGATTTATAACTTTCTGAATTTGAATAAAGGTTTCTAAATTTGAAATCGAAATTCTGAGTTTGAAATGTAACTTTCTGAATTTAAAATATAAATTCTGTATTCGAATTGCAACTTTCTGAATTTTGAATGGAAATTCTGAATTTAAATTGTAACTTTCTGAATTTGAAGTGGAAATTCTGAGCTTGAATTGTAACTTTCTGAATTTGAAATAGAATTTCTAAATATGAATTGCAACTTTCTGAACTAAAACTGAAAAAGGTGTAGTGATTTGTAATCATTTTTTTCTTTTTGCTGACGGATTTTGCACTTTTTTTCATTCGTAGCAAAATGTCAAACAACCAGTTTTCATAAATTGCACTTGTTATATGCAGAAACCGTCAACAAAAAATTATCTATAGATACATAGTATAAAGGTAATCTCGAAAACTACTGAAAGGATTTTGACCAGATTTTCTCCAATACACTTTGTATCGATAGGAGAGTGACCTTTTTCATTTTGAATTTTAATAGGGTTACCACCTGTTTAAGAAACTGTAAGATCCGCACGGTTCGCTGGATTACAAAAGCTGAGGTGTCAAATGAAAGGGAAAGGCCTCTAGAAAATTACAAAGGTTTTATTTTTTTGAATAGGGTTTCCACCTGTTGATAAAATTACCATATACAATCGTAATAAGCGTAGGCATCAATTCTGCACCGTCGCTGTCAAACGTAAAGACTTGGCTTCTAGATGTGCAATAACGGATTAATTTCCTGAGTAGGGTTGCCACCTAATAAAAAAGTTAAAAGATTTTCACCGTTCGTTGGATTACAAAATGAGATATCAAATGAATGGGAATGGCCTTTGCATGTAGAAAAACTTTAATTTTTTGGGTAGGGTTGCCACCAATTTAACATTTTTTATCTTCTATAAATAGTTTAAAAAAAAGTTGTGATTCTTAGAATGGATTTAGGCGAGATTTTTAAAGTATAATCTGTATCGATAGAAATATTATATTTAGTACTTTAAATTCCTATAGGGTTGCCAGCTGTCTAAAATATTATAAGATCCACACTGTCTGTTGGATTACAAATAAAAGGGCTCGGCGTTTAGATGTAGATGTTCAATAATGTATTACTTTTTAAGGAGGGTTGGCAGTTTTTAAAAATTATAAGATCTTCACCGTTTGTTGGACTAAAAACCGAGATACCGAGTGAAAGGATATGGTCTCTGCATGTGAAATAAGCAGGGACGTGAACCGGTTTTGAACCGAACCGGTTTTGAACCGGAAAACCGCTTTTTTCTATTAATTAACTGAACCATTAACCGAACCGAAATTTTCCGCAAATGTTTGATCCGAACCGAAAACCGAACCACTTTCCATAAAGGTTTAAAGGTTCGTTTCAACCAATTTTCAATAGATAAATGTACCCACTTTTTTTCTTTTTGTTAAACATGGTAATACCTACCATGTTTGTTAACCATGTGAGAATATCAATGGGTTGCCTACCCATCTCATTTGACAGACCCCTTAACCTTGCGCGTTGTTGCACTTGACACTTGACACTTAAACTTGCGCGTTATTTTTTGTTTTTCGAACCGTTGAACCGAACCGAAACCCCGGTTCAAAGACCAAAAAACCGCTTTGACGAACCAATCCAAAAGTGCAAAAACGGTTCGAACCGCTGAACCGAACCGACCAAATTTTTCATCCGGTTCACGTCCCTGGAAATAAGTTTCTATTTTTTGTTTAAGTGGGGTTGCCACCTATTTAAAGATTATTTAATTAATTGCATTTAAAAAATGAGATGTCAAATGAAAAGGCTTGACCTTCACATTTGCAGTAAGGTTTTATTTTTCGAAGAGGGTTGCAACCTGTGCGAAAAATTAAAAAATGTGGGCTGCTCGTTAGATTACAAGAAATGAGGTTTCAAATAAAAGGCCGTGGCCTCCAGATGGGCAATTATATATTATTTTTTTAGTAGGGTTTAGTTGTCAATTATACATTATTTAATATCTAAACATTCAGCGCGTGGCGAAGCCTCGCATCTGATAACTTACATATTTATGTAGCTTCCTAAAGTTTTTTATTGACTAATTTTTTTATTATTTTCCCACCCTTTTAATTTCAGTCTAAAAGCACGAGCGAAACCGATTTCGAAAGGGTAAACAACGAATAGAGCACATTTTTGTGTAATGCTAAAAGCATTCAGAGGCATTGATTTAAGGCAACGAATGTTTCACGACCACAGCGCTGACTCTATTGGCTAGCGTAATGATCGACGATTGCCTGCCTGCTTGCCATTGATGCGAATTGAAGAAGAAGAAAAAACTACAAATCAAAAAATTAAAAAATATACATATACATTGAGCGGCTGGTGAGATGTGAAATTGTCATGGCAGCTGCAAGCAAACCTAGAACACACAAAAAACGAGCAATTAACTATTTTTTAACAATATGAATAACGCACATCGTAAATACGTACTTATGTATGTACATATGTATGTATATACGTAAATGCAGTTATACATATGTATGCATATTTTAAAATACCCCAATATATTTGATGTGTCTATGTGAAACTGCCGCTTACTTGTAGGCGGTAGCGAAAAGCTTCGGTGTTAACTCAACTATGTACGCGTTTGAATGTCCAATGGAAACTTCTTGGTGTTCGATAATTAAAATTTTAGTTTTTTTTTGTGTTTTTGTTTAAATTAAAGCTATGCAGATGTTTCCTTAATTGGTTATTGTTATAATGTGGCTGCAATGCAACATACAAATAAGCAAAAAACATGTGTACATACATACATTCTGCACTTGAATGTTGCATGCATACGTCATTAATCAGTTTTTACTCCAAAATGTACAAATAAAGAGATAATTGTTTTTGTTATCAAAAAAAAAACATTAAATACAATTACATATTGTATTGCTCCATTGCACAAACAGGTCGATCACAAGGGCTCTGAATGAAGAAGGAAGCACAATAAGAAAAGTCAAATTATCTCAGAATAAATAAAATCAAAAACAAATATACTTATTACTGCCATAAGTCAAGTAAAGAATTGAAGAATTGTTATTCGATGAACTTGTCTGTAAGATTTGAATAGCGCTGCTCGTTTGCATGTACGTACCTATGTAGATATGAATGTATGTACATATGTATATGTGGGGTACATGTTCGCGAGACTAAATCTATATATAATATATATATATACATACACAAAACTATATATATGGATATTTTTTTCAACGTTTGAAATGTAGTTTGTAAAACATATTTTTGTATAANCATACACAAAACTATATATATGGGTATTTTTTTCAACGTTTGAAATGTAGTTTGTAAAACATATTTTTGTATAAATCTATATTATGTAGATATAATATTGCTATAAATATTTGTATACACAAGCATATACTAAAATATTTAATATTTATAAAAAAGAGGAAATACATACACAATACCCTAAAAATTGTAAGCAAACAGATTTGCAACAGTTAACCGATGAATCAAACATCAAAGAATAAATGAAATGAAATGAAATGAATCGTTAGGTTTCAATAAATCGTAATTTTGGAAATGTGGAAATTAAGTGTGTTGGAAATCGGGCATTCTCGTCCGTTATCTATGTATATTGGATGTATCTGTTTAATTTTGACTGGGCTCGAAAAAAAAAATTTAAAGAACATGATTGTACGTAAAAATGTTCGTAAATTAAATTACATACATACATATTTACATGCATATATGTATGTAATTTTTTGTTAGTTCGCACTTTTAGGATATTGAAAGAGTTAAATGTATACAGTGGACCTGTGCTTTATGTGCACTTAAAAAATTAAATTATATTTATATAATGTATATTATACATACATAGCGGTGACTAAAGCAAAACAATTTGGTGCAAAAATTTTAATGATAAACTATTTATATATACATACATACATACATACAAAGATGAGAGAATATTGTGAAAGACTTTTTGATAGTTCGTTATTATAATAATAGTTTTTTTTTATTATTATTATTATTTAAATCATATTTTGCGTTATACATGTTTAGATTAGCATTAAATGTAAAATTGAATAAATATGTATTTAAGTTGAAATTCGAGTCTTGTAATGTTGCAATGTTGGGTAAGAAAACAGTGTCCAAATAATTTTGTTGCTTAAATGAAATTATTTTTTTATAAACGCCTAGCTGGTTATATAACAAACACCATTTAAATTTATATTTCAAACTTTCACCAAAATTTCAAACCGTAAACTTTAGAAATTATGACTGACTTCCAAAACGTACCAATACAATGTTTGGATACCGTTCTACTGCGGTATTTAAACTGTTTGTACATGGAGAGTTGCGAGACATTGCAACCTTATACCTTGCATATTTTGAATATTCAATGAGAGACCATAACGATTATAAGAAATAAAATTAAATATCGATTTTCAAAAATGTGGTGTCAAATTAAAGGGCTTTGTTTTTACGTGGTTTTAGTTTTAATGAGCTACAAAACTGCAACCAAATTTTTTTCTAAAGGTTCTGATTAAAAAGTTTGAAATTTTGGTGAAAATTTGGAGAATTAATTCTCAAAGTTGTTGCACAAAGTCGGAAATTTGGATTTATATGGTTTTTGTTAGGAAAAGGGTTTACCTAAAAAAAAATAGTAAGTATTAAATAAACAAGAGAAAAATAGCCGAACCTTGCTAAAATGTAGAATCCTAATTTATATTTTGATCACTGTATGTGTTCCTCGATTCGAAGCACATGCATTCAGATTAGAAAATAATAACTGTTTATGGAGAAAGTTACGATCATATTCCAACATCATTTAAAACTGGTTCATAGACATGCAATTTTAATGAGATTTGAAGGCGTCGAAATACCGAACTCCGTATACGGGACAAATACAGGACATTAAGAGAAATACAGAATATTTGGCGTCCCGTATAAAATAAATTAATTGCCAGGACAATTGGTCAAAAAAGAGGGCTGTCCCGTATATTACACGACGAATGGTCACCGTATTTATAATACATGCCAGATCTCTTAGTCTGGGATATATATTGTAGTTGTCCGATCTGGTCGGTTCCGACAAATGATTAATATGTATGTATATTATTAAAAGGCGTCAACGGGTGGGGCTATATACCCAGCAGCATAAATAGATTTACATTTATGCATTAAAATACTTGAAACCAATTCCATGTGTACATACATACATATCGATCGTCCTATGCAATAGATAACGGTACAATTCAAAAAAGGTAAACCCTTACTACTGTTAAATGTCTCATGTCACTAATCCTTGTTTCATCCATTCCTTATCTTTATTACTTACTTTAGTAAAGATGTAAAGATGGGACATGGATTAGACGGGGATTAGAGACATGAGTCACTTAACAAAGGTAAGGATTTTTTTTTTTTAATCTTGAGCAGTGGTGTTATTGCGGAGGACCATCGATATGTATATGAAATATTCCACGTCAACCGAATGCTGCGGGATCTTTTTATTGGTTTTTCATTACTCCACATACTCTATTCAAAGGTATGTATCTATATCCAAATATAATTTAAAAAAGTGCATATGCCTAATGTAAATACATATGTAGTAAAACCGGCCGGCGCAATTTGGCTGGCTGTAGTAAAGTGTTCAAAAAAGTCTGATTGTGTAAAACAATGATTTTCCAATTGCAAACAAATTGTAGTACGGCAACTCAGTTCAAAACTCTATGCAAATTAGTTTTATTTAAACTGTTGCTGTTAGAAACTTTGTGGGTTACGGCCCAAAAATACTCACACCCAGCAACAGCATAAAAATTTCCTAAAGAGATTTTGAGTAGTGATGCTGGAGGGACAGCCATTGGCCAGATATACATAAAACCGGTTCGTTTCGGGTACGTAGACCCGACTGCTGTGGAAACTACTTATATATGTACATATCTGTGGTCATAAGCAATAACCGTCTTAGTTGAAAAACCTGAATTCGAGAAAAAAACGTTTTAAACATTGTGGATTGTAATCTAATCTTTATGGGCGAACCAATATATCGTCGGTGATACTGCAATATCACAAGTATAAGTTGTGGTTGTTGTTGTAGATAACAGCATACAAATTCCGGTTACATAGACCCGCCTGTCGAGGGACTTAGTCGACTTGGCGGTTATTTCTTATGACCACAGATGTATATTTATCTTCATATCCGATGGCTTAATTGTAAATTTTAGATATACTTACTTTGATATAGAACGACGGACGAAAATTAAACAATACCAATCCTAGTTATTACTTCAAATTTGTTAGTTGTTACACAAAATGGCGTTTTGTTGTGGATTATTTACAAGCTATAAGTTTGTAGATATTCCAATTGCTTAGATAGATACCGTAAAAACATATGTAAGTATACACAAGAATGTATATGTATGTACATATATGCATTGTTACATATGTACCTATAACGTGGTCTTTATGTTCTATGTATTTACATATAGTCGCAGTGTAACCATTATACAAATAATAGCTCTGATCCAGTACTCCATGAACTTACAGGTTTTTACACGAACTTGCAGGAAGTTACAGGAAAAATGATCCCGTACTTCAAAATCCTGTAAATGAGAGCGATTTTTGGATAGTTGTGTAGAGAATGAAGTTGCAAGATTTTACCCGAACTTTTTCTTCTGGTAGATCAGGAAAAATGTTTTTTTCTTCCCGTACTTTTTGTTGTTACTCACTTTTTACTCTCACTTCAGAGAGTAATTTAAAATGTTTGACATTTTTACAGGATTTTACACAAAAGGTATTGGATCAGAGCTAATATACATACATACAGCGAACAAATTGGTAAACGATAAATTCGAATGAGTATAAATACATTCATAAGATGAAAAAAAACAAAAAAACAGTTAATTTTTAAAATAATGAAATGTCTTTTTTTTATATGTCATACTCACGTAACACATACACACATCTGTATGTACTTTTATAAAGTCTATAACTTGATTTAAGAAAATGTTAATTTTTTAATCAGTGTTGTCACTTCAGAAACCAAATTAGTGGTAGATTATCAATAAAAGCAGTGGTAGATTTCTGGAAAAGTGTGGTTGAATATCTGTATTAAGTAAAAATTTGCCAAAAAAAGATATATCAGACCATGAAGTAGTATTCAAATGTAAGTAAACTGCATTCTCAGTTTTGTGCTATCGCGCAATTTTTTCGAGATATTTGAAGAAGGTACATATATCTTTGTCATAAAAAAAGATCTTATTTCTAATTTTTACTATAAGTTCTTAAGTGTTGTTGTCTGTGGAAATACTGTTGGTAAGCAACTACACAGGCGTAATCTCAGGCGATGTCGAATCTCTAAGAAAATCGCCTCATGTAAATGCAGATTATCCTTCACGCACGCAATAAAAATTTTGAAACGGCAGCACCTTCAGCTCTTCAACTTACACAAAATTCATAATAAATTTTCTTGACATTTAAAGTCATATTGAGGAGAAAATTGACTTTTCAACTCTTAAAAAAAAAAAACATTTTCCAATTAGGTTAATAATTTTATTTCAATAAAATTGTGGTAGTTTTTTAACATACATATGTGGTAGAAGCGAAAAATGACCTAAAATGTGGTAGATCTACGACAATTGTGGTAAAGTGTCAACACTGTTTTTAATGATTAAAATTTATAGAATGAATCCCCCTAATGGCACAGTTTAAACGCACTGTCTAAATTATACTGTTACTTATATTTAAGTTGTGTGTTTGTTGATAAAGAGATACTTGTATAATTGTTTACAACATATGTACATACATAAATTGCATGCATTGATGGTTTCAGATAAATAAATATGTACACGCATAAGTGATGAAATTATACATTCATATGGTTGTGATTTTTTTCTTTTGGCGGATTTGGAGGGGAGGAGATAAGTGGAGGACAATTTTTCTCTGTAAAAAGTGCAAAAGCTCCTAGTTAATGTAGTCAGACGGCACTCGAGAATGAATGCAATTCAACCAGGGTTCGGAAATTCTCATTTATGATTATTCGTTTTCATTCATTTATGAGATTTATCGCGATCGATAATATTTCAACTTATTTTTTGCATTATATTATCGCGAGTGAAAAATGCAAACAAATTTATCATCTCTCACATTCGGAATGCGATCGACAAAAAAATTTCATTCGCGATCGAAAAAAGCAAAGAAATTTCCTCTCAATCGAATATGAAAACTCCGAGCATTGCCGATGTCGGCCTCTCATAAATGAGAAAAACGATGCAAATAATCCATTCGCGATCACTCACAAATGCTTATCGCGAAAAATTTTCAACGACGTTGTATGGGTGATATTTTTCGCGTTTGTTTTGGGTATGCATTTTGTTATGCATACAGCATACATACATATGTACATAGTATATATATGTAAGTAATGCAAGCAAATGCTTTTCGGTTGGAAGGAATGTAGGAATATGCACAAATATATGAATTATGGTGGTAATATATATTTATGTTCCACGATTGAGAGAAATAGAGATTGCGCCAATCGCGGTACCCAAGGTACCAAAATAAGAATTTTAATATTTTTGTGTTAACATTTCTGCGTGTTTTAAAACAATAATTGAGACATTACAAAGCAAAACGAAGTGTGCAGTGGCAAAGTGTAATAGTGAAATCAAAAGGAATGCGTGCGATATAAGTTTTTTTTTCGTTTCCTACGGACGCAAACCTGGCGAAAAAGTGGAAGCAGTTCTGCCGGCGATGAGATGCATTAAACACCAAATCGAGCTTTGTGCTATGTGTGTGAGCTATGAGCTTCTACATGGAACCATGTTGGCCTTTCCTTGGTGAATTGTAGTAGGTACAATTCCATAGTGAATGTAGACAGTTGCTGGTTTAGTTTGCTGGCAATGGGGTTACATACAAAAGCTGTTTCTACAGTAAATAAATACATTAACTTCACTACCTACTTATTTTTGTTAGTACCTGTTTCTTTTTAGTGCTGGTATGTGGTAATGCACCAGTGGATAAGGTCGCCAGGCGCTAATTCAAGCGGCATCTTACCGCGCTTTTACGTACCTAATCAAAAACAGTGCTCAACTTATTATACATTTAAAAGTTCAGCTTAAATTATGTTTTACTTACATAGAATATTTGTTGCCAAAGAAGGCACACTCATGCATCCTCTCGGAAATGGTACAAGTCATCAAATAAAAGCTGTGGAGTCACCCACTGTGGAGTTTATGGTGGTTCGCTACCGTCCACAAATATAAATATGCACTCTGCATCGCTTTTTACAATGGCGGGTCCAAAAATTCACTTTGCTGCACGCCTTCCATTTGGTCTACATGAAATTCCAAACATTGTTAATACATCCATTTTTCATGTGCTAAAAATCGTACTTACCTAAAGGGCTACATGTCCAAAATTATTGCTACGTGTTCCTAATTAATCAATCTTTGTATATTTATTGATTCCTGCAAAATTGGGCCATGTAATATTAAAATTAACACACTTTTCTGCATTGTTTACATATTTTTATATGCTTCCTGGCATTTCTCTCTCGCAATTGCACCAAGATGACGTCATGCAAAAATTACCCTCAAAAATCCTCTCTCATTGGAGCAATCTTGTATTCTATCATTCTTGGATTTTACCCCCGAGGAGTACTCAAAAAGGTTTATTACTGTATATACTGTGTTTTGTACTGATTCTCAATGTGCGTATGATTTGTTATTGTAATTTTTTTGGTTTTGTTCTGTTAACACCACCTTGTATAAATTCGCCTTGTTAGCTTCCTAGAATACAACATAATCGATAGTCTAAATTTGATAGAAAATAATCGTACATTTACGATCTCTAATATTTGCCCAATAAGAAAATGTCAAAAGGCCGATAGCAAAAAGCAAAAGCAAAAAAGGAAACAAGGGCAAAGTCACTTAAAATTCTATATAATTAAATTTCTCAACTTTTGTACAAATTAAATTATTCACCTGCAATCAAAATATTGCTGATACTAAAAACTCGAAAGGAGTAATATGGATTTCCTGTTTGCTCCTCTACCAGAAACCAATTGTAAGTTTTGCTAATATCTAAACGATACAAAATGCACATTTGTATGAATGTGTGTATTTAAAATACACTTGTTTCCATTCATATTTACAGTCCAAATGAATACAGAAGAGTTGCGTTTATGGCAACGAAATGCCATATTTGAGTGTGAGTGCGATAATTTTATTAACAGGCGCATTGAAGCTAGACAAATGCACCAAGTGGTACCACAACATCGGCCGCTCTTCGAGCTATATGGAATCGATGCTGCAATACAGCAACATGGATTAAGGCTGCCGGGTGCTCATGGTAATATTGAACAGCGCAATAGCAGTATCAATATCAATCATCGTGTAGACGACGACGATAACCGCGCGGATGCTAATGCCAACATAGCAGCACCACTTCGTCAGCGACGTAGACTTATGGCTACAAATGCGTCGGATCAGGATCGTGACAATATGCTCGATAGACTTTATCAAGAGGCTTTATTTACAGCTTTCCGTACGCGAGGGCTAAGTGCCATCCGAAATCCCTAATGCTTATGTAGGGATTTGTCACATAGGGTGGGCGAAAAAGGCAGAAGTGCCGATAATTAGATTTATCTTTCAGTGTTATAGTCAATTAAGCGATTTCCACAGAATTGAAAATGTAATAAGTAATTTTTAAGCATGATAGAAAACCCACTTTCTCATATAAAAATGTAAGAGTACCTTTAATTTCTTCATGATGCAATGATCGATCTTATTAAATAAATAATAATAATAATTAACCAAATTAGTGTGACGCCAACTCTGAGGTACCACCTTTCCTTTTAAAAGGAATTATATAAATCGGTTAAAGTGATCCAAAATCATGCGGTAACATACATAAAAAAGCAGTGTCTACACACACGACATGGTAACTTTTACCGTAGCTCTACTGTAAAATCACGTGGATTATATGTTGCCGCAGAAGTGGGTCAGAATTTCTTTAGCGTCGGCGGCCTTCGGCCGCACTCAAGGATTATAACCCTTACTACTCAGAATTCTCCTTTCTGTGTTGCCGGAGAAGTGGGACAGAACTTCTTGCGCCGTAATTTTTACCGTGGATCTACGGTTAAAGTTACCGTGGCGCGTGTAAATAGACACTCCCTAAAAAAAATATTCCGACGAATTGTTAACCTCCTTTTTTTGAAGTCCGTTAAAAATTAATTGGATTCGTTTTTGTTTGTATTGCTATTTTAAGGGCATTTATAATAGGTTTGCTCCTCAAGCTACTCGAAGTCACTTCGAGTTACACATAAGGGTTTCCCAAGTAAGTTTTAGAGATTATTTGATATACGCTGACAGTTTGAACTTTCCTCGAGTTTTACTACAAGTAACTGCACTTCCTTGGCCTCCCCTTAGCTGAAATAGACGACAACGTTGATGGATGAACCGACCTGAGCGCGGCTTGGTAGCCGCTACAACAACAAAAACAACAACTATAGGGATCGTTTATATATGGACAAAGGACTTAAGCGAACCGTTATTTGTCGACAAGATATCGCTTTCATCACACTAAGCGAATTCCATACAATGGCTTTAACTATATCGAACCCTTAAACATCACTCCTTGCCGATTAACGGGGTTTTATTTGGTTAGACTCGTAGCAAGTGTAAGGGCCCTGTCACACGTTCAGTATTTATTGACGTGATCCAAGTATCGCGATATTTATTGACGGTGTTGCTTGACGGAGCGCGGCCCATATTGTAAAATTACAAAGAATGTAGTACCATTTTTATTCTCGTTTCTCAATCTACGATATTGTGAACGAAGACCAAGAAATTTAATTTTTTTTTTGCTGTGCAGGTGAAATCCATGAACGAAAGACACAAGATCACGCCTTAAGGAAAGAAAGAAAAAAGTTATTTTCTAGCTGTTGAAATCTCGACGCCATCTTTGTTGTAAGAAGTAAACAACGAAGAGAACAAAAAAAAACGCGTAATTGTTGAACGCATGAATAATCATTTTTATTATGCAAATTCTCCTATAAATCATGTCGTTGTGTTAAATTATTCTTTACCTTATGTGTGCACACGTTGTCACAAGCGAAAATTAAGAAAATTGCAGTAAAAAGCCACCACCAAATTGTAAACAACGAACAAATGTAAACAAACGGCTTATGTCAAAATCGCCCTACTTTTTTCATAAGTGCGATTATAACGGGCCACTCTTCTGCTGTCGTGATCTTGTCTTTTTGGTTCATGGGTGAAATCGGCTTTGTAAACAACACTGTCCGGCAAGAAGAGGAAGAACGTGGTGAATTCTTACACCATGGGAAGTATTGGAAGCAATTTACCAGCTGATGAAATAGCGGCTTGTGTTGTTANAAATCGGCTTTGTAAACAACACTGTCCGGCAAGAAGAGGAAGAACGTGGTGAATTCTTACACCATGGAAAGTATTGGAAGCAATTTACCAGCTGATGAAATAGCGGCTTGTGTTGTTAAAATAGATTTGTTTTTGCTCCATGTGGCTAGTTTATAGTTTTTCTTTGTGGCGAGAAAAAAGCCGTTTCTTTTATGTACTCTGATTAATTTTGTTTAAACTATTCCTTAGACAAGAAAATGTCTTCTTTAGAACGAGAATCTGCTGTTCTTAGTGAAATGGTTTGTGTAATCAGTCAATAAAAAATAGTTGAGTGGACACAAGTATTTTTATTTTCATTTGTAGGAGCGTCTGACAGCCCACTTGCGAACGCAAATAGAAAATACGAAACGTGGCGAGGTGCTTGATTTTGAAGATGAAGAGTACACAAAGTTGCAAACTGAGAACATGAAGTTAAAGCATCGATTAGCGATTTTGAATAAGGTTAGTCACTTTCAATTTTATATCTTTATTCGCCGACATTATAGGAAATTTCATCATTGCAGGCTATTGTTGCAGAGCAAAATGCCGCACCCACTGCTGTTGCTAAATATGTGCCACCTGCACTGCCAACTACCGTCGATGCAATGATTTCAATTGCTGAACATCTTACAGATTTGTTTACAGACGCCATCGCATCGGCATTTCCGCAGCTTGCCGGCACTTCAGCTATTATATCACCTGTGAATGCAACTGCCGCTAAATTTGGTGATTATCAGTGCAATAGTGCTATGTCATTGGCAAAAACACTAAAGGCTGCTGGCGCAAATAAATCACCCAGAGATATAGCAAACGAAATAGTTAAGCATGTTGCACAATCGCCACTTGTAGCCAAAACTGAAGTTGCAGGTGCTGGCTTCATTAACGTGTTTCTTAAAAAGTATAATGTTTATTTTTATGTTCGTATAAATGGTATAATTAATTTTTGTATAAAATGTAGGGATTACGCTGTTCGTGCGATCTCCAACCTTTTACGGTCTGGCGTTAACCCGCCAACCTGCCGCAAGCAACGCATTCTCGTAGACTTTTCATCACCCAATATAGCCAAACAGATGCACGTCGGTCATTTACGTTCGACGATTATTGGAGAGTCCATTTGTCGTTTGTTGGAATTTCTGGGGCACGATGTTCTACGCGTCAATCACTTGGGCGATTGGGGTACACAGTTCGGTATGCTGATTGCGCACTTGGAGGACCGTTTCCCAAATTTTCTGCACGAAAGTCCTCCGATTGGCGATTTGCAAGCTTTCTACAAGGAATCAAAAAAGAGGTGGGTATTGTTCGTAGTGAATACACATAAGCGAAAAGAGAAAAGTGAACGTTTCGATCAAAAATGGGGCTAATGAAAGCCGTTTATTTAAAATACTTGTTTGGCAATTAAGTAAGAATCGATATTTGTGAAAGATGCATTTAATGTTTACAATTTGCAATCCTGCACGGAAGATTTTAGCCCGAAAATTATTCTGCATCATTTGGTAAAACATTATTTTTTGAGTTATGACAGTCTTTTAGTTAGAAAGCGATATGTACAACTGCAACCCTTTAGTTGCTCTTTTCGATATTCTCTTATATTTGAGTTTTTCAAAGAACTTAATCAGTTTGAGCTTTTGGAAAGATATATTACTCGTCAACTTGTGTTTTCTTCAGATTTGACGAGGACGAGGAATTCAAGAAACGTGCCTACAATTGCGTAGTACTGCTGCAAGGCGGGGACCCGAATTCAACAAAAGCATGGACTCAAATATGTGATGTATCCCGTGAAGAGTTCCAAAAAATCTATGACCGATTAGACGTTACAATTACTCCTATCGGCGAGTCTTTCTATCAGTCACGCATGATAGAGGTTGTAAAGTTTTTGGAATCAAAGAACCTACTCGAAGAAGACGATGGCCGCAAAATTATGTGGGCCGATGAAACATCTTCTGGCATACCTTTGACAATCGTTAAGTCAGACGGGGGCTTCACATACGATACTTCGGACATGGCAGCAATTCGTTACCGATTAGAAGAACAAAAAGCCACATGGTTAATTTATGTTGTAGACTCTGGACAGAGCACACATTTACAAAATATTTTTCGGGCTGCAGAACGTGCAGGCATTTTCAATCGCGAACTACATCGTGCCGATCATGTTAACTTCGGAGTAGTGTTGGGCGAGGATGGCAAAAAATTCAAAACGCGTTCTGGAGAGACAGTGAAACTTTCTGATCTACTAGACGAAGGTTTGAAACGTGCGCTGGATAAATTGCTGGAAAAGGAACGTGACAAGGTGCTTACACCGGATGAATTGCAAGCAGCACAAGAATCGGTAGCTTATGGCTGCATAAAGTATGCCGATTTAAGTCATAATCGCACCAACGAATATGTATTCTCCTTTGACAAGATGTTGGAGGATCGCGGCAACACAGCCGTGTATTTGCTCTATGCTTTTACACGCATTTGTTCCATTTCTCGCAACTGCGGCGAGGACTTCTCGGACCTAGCTAAAGTGCTTGACAAAGGCGTCGCTATTGAATTGGAACACGAAAAAGAGTGGAAGTTAGCCAAGACATTATTAAAGTTCCCCGATGTGTTGATTAAAATATCAAAGGATCTGCTTTTGCATACACTCTGTGAGTTCTGCTATGAAGTTTGTACTGTGTTCTCTGAATTCTACGACAGTTGCTATTGTATTGAGAAGAATAAAAGTGGCGAGATTCTTAAGGTTAACCACGGACGCATTTTGCTATGTGAGGCTACAGCTGCTGTGTTAAAACAGTGCTTCTACATCTTGGGCTTAAAGCCTGTTGCTAAGATTTAAAAAAAAAAAAAAAAACACTACTACACAGTCAATCTCGCACCATAAAAATTAAAAGAATAAAATTCAACAATATTTCATAACGCGTTTTTTATTTATATTTGGTATGAATTGCTGTATGAGGTTATTTGTATGTCCCAACATAGTCGGTGTTCTTGAAATGAAAATCTCTGAACCCTTTTTAGATCATGTGAACCGTTTATTATGAAATTTATTTTTGAATATCGTGACTACTATATTTTTTTACTTTTTTTCATAATATGATGCATATTGAATGATGAATTTTGAATTTTTTATTAGTTACTTTTTGTATGTCAGCGACGATGTTTGTAACGTCTTTTTGCATTTCAGGCGACGATATGCATAATAATAATAATACGTATTAGCGGGATATATGTATGTATTATTCATACATTAGATGCGTTTTTTACTCATTTCCAGTAAAATCCAGTAAAAGTTTTTACGAATTTTCATGTATTGGCGTTTTCGTACGCAAAAACTTGCAAAGTAGGGGAAATTGAGAGAGCGAAAAATGACAGTTGAAGTTGCAAGTTTTTACTGGATTTTACTGGATAAATAATAGGGCTATTCGCGATCCGGTGCAAATGGCCTAGCATCATTGCATTGCAAATTTGTATTGCAAATTATTTGCAATACACAAACAAAATACACGCATTTGCATTTGTGATGGCTTGGCAAATTTGCAATACCGAAAACCCATATTTACTTGTAAGAATTTGCCAGTAGGAAAAACAGCTGATCGCATGTTGCTGGATGAAATTTAAACTAATAAGGAAACTGTTTGTGGGTTTTTATTGTTGAATTTCACAAAATAAACCTATTTAAAAAAAAATATATTGTTTTATTAGGAATTTGCTGCGAATAAACAACCAATTTATCAGCTGTTCATGAAACTTGCAAATTGTTACTGGAAAAGCGTTCGCGTACTTTATTGCAAATTTTTTCTTTGAGAGCGAATTCTTAGAAATAAAGTTACTGGAGAGTTGCTGGCAAGTTACTGGATAATTTGTAAAAAAACAACTATTTTTTCATTTGCAACCGAAAAAATTGAGCAGTTTAAAACGAAAGCCAGTTGCAGTTTGGTTTTCTCGCTTGGGGGAATTTTTATCAGCATTAGCACCATTGCCATTTTCCCTTGACTTTTTTGTGGTGATGTAAACAGCTGATTCATATTTATTTTTATGGAAGTGTTTGAAGTTTTGCTTTTGCAATGGACAAAGAAATTCCCTTTGTGGATCTTCTGGAGCGCGCAAATGAAAAAGTTGAACTCGGCCATGAGTTGATTGAAGAGTTGGAAGAATATACTCAAATTAGTGGTGTGCAAAAAATTCAAAGAAAAATCAGTCAGGAAGTAAAATTTTTGAAGAAGGTATACTTGGAAAACAGGTGTGCGCTTTTAAGAAATTAAATAGTATTGTATTCCTCCAGGTCATTAAAAACGAAACTCTGAAGCTCAATCACGTCCAATGCAGTAATCTGACACACTACGCCTTCCTGGTGCAGATTTTGAAGCTACAACGAGATGTAGTGCATGTAGACTGTGGTTTTCCAGTTGAGGGTCGAAGTAATCCGCTGCGGGTGGATATTGTCTGTGATAATGGCTTAAGATGGATCAAAGGTAAGTGATAATTAAATCACACATTCAACAACATTCATCCAAAATTACATCTCCAACACAGCAATTGCTCGTAATTCGAAGTCATTGTCTGATGCGGCCAAAGGTGCGGCAAGCTATGGAGCGCGTAGCATATTAGATCAAGCGCAGGAGTTCATAGACGCCAGCGCACAACACTTGTGCATGTTTAAACCGCCGAAAGTATGCATACCGTTTCTTTTTTTTTTCTCTTTTCTAATACAATTCAAATTTTAGGTGGTTTTCTATTTCAGTCAAACTATTGACAATACGCTCCTTGTGGAACTGCAAGAGATCGGTATAGAAATAGCTTCGGTTGCCGAAACTTCCGACTGTGATCAAAGTGCAGACGTTTTAAATGTAAGCACTCTAAATATCGATATAACCACGCTATTGGCGTATATAAGCAATGTTTGCAATGGCAGTTGCAATTGGACATTCCAAGAGCCCATACTTACCGAACAGGCAGAAAAAGAGCGGCAAGCGCCATTGAAGCCACTCTTGGATAATCTGTTTGAGGGTAAATAGAAACATATAACGTGAAATTAAATTTATAATTGTATTAATTTTATGTTTTTTTTTTTACAGGAAAACGCCTCATTTGCTGCGAAACTGCGTACAAATCATTTGAAGAGATAATTTATTTACTGGCCGGTCCCCAAGAACATCAACGCGCTGCAGAGCTAATGAAACGTGTAGAAGTGTTACCCGATGTGGCTAGTGTGCCCGATGAATTGGCCGTGATTAAATTTAGCGGTAAAATAAATCAACGAAGTTTAAAGATTTTTGCATTTGGCATGCAAATGAAAGCGGTGACTGTGACCTCGAATAAAGCATTCATACGTTCGGCTAAAATGCAAGTGAGTGCTTTAGTTTTTTATTTAATTGTAAATTACGATTTAATTAAAACTTTTTGAAAATATTGCTTAGGGTATCAATGTTCCTGTGTTCACCCACCAAGCCAGGGCTTTGACCGAGGCTAAAGAGGCGTCTGGTAGGCCTATAGAATGATTTGCAAATGAAACCATGCGACAAAGAGTGGGGCGCGATTTTAGTTGGCGAATGCATAAATCATTGATATATTGCATATAAGATGTTCATATTTATTAAACAAATTTTCTATTAATAGTAGGTGAATATACATATTATTGTTAATCAACTGTTTATACAATTTGCAAACTACATTAAGCTTTATTGTGAGAGAATACAAATAGCTTTTTGCATCGAATTACGACCGGTAATCAATAAAAGGAGTGGTGCCAGACCCACACACTGCCATACTTTTAATTTTCCTCATTTTCGTAGAAACTTTGCAAGAGTGCGAAATAGCTCATTGATGTACTCATCAACTAAAAAAAGAAACAAAAATTGAGCATCTAATATAGTATATATGTATATGCAAATAGCAGTTAATTATGTCGAATTAAAGTGTAGTGTCATTATTTCTAATACATATGTGTATATATATATATACCCCGGAAAAGCTGTTTAAGGATAACGTTGAAAACTTCATTGCCGTTATGCAGGTTGGTCGTTGACTACGCATTATCATAAACTGCAATTTGCTGCGAAATACTTTATCAGTGGAGTAATAAACCGTTGGCAAAGACTTTCTCAGCTGTGGAGCGGCTGACGAGTTGTTTGCTGTGCCAGCAAATACGATATCACGTTCCCAGTTGCATGCATACAAATGGGTGGCCATCTCGAGGGACTGGAGAACAAATATTGATAACAAAATTCAACAAATAAAGTTTATTTATATAATTTTTTTTTTAACTGAGTCAGTTTTTTGTTTTTGCTTAAAAATTACTTATTTTTATAAAAGAATCGAATAATTTTTCTTGTAAAGGGTAAATGACCTGATCTAGAAAAACGGCATACTGATCCGTAATCTACGACTCAAAATTAAGTTTACCTCGGCGTTTTTTTTTTTGTAATTTTAGCGTGCCTGTCTCTACAATGTAAATGATTGGGGCGAGGCATATCAATATACATACAGACACTCACAGAAGTATTCCTAATTTATTTTTTTCGCAATATTCAAAATGTTTTCTATCATAAATCTTTTTTGTTAATTTTCATTTAAAAAATAAATTTTCATTGAAATTTCACACTTTTTATTCAGAATTATTAGAAAAATTTTCGGTATGCATTTTTTAGCCCGTTCAATTTTAGTACACTAAAGTGCAAGTTTTAAATAGCTAAAAGTAACTGATTTTTTATATTTTTTTTGTCGCGGGTGTTGCGCATTCGTTGTTTCCATATAATGAACAAACATCTATTTTTATATGGAAGAAAGTGCGCAACACCCTCGACAAAAAAAATCTAAAAAATCAGCGGTAATTTTTAGCCACTTGAAACTTGCACTTTATTATACTAAAATTAAACGGGCTGCAAAATTGCGAACCGAATTTTTTTTTTTTTAAATTCTGAATAAAGTTTGAAATTTTGATGAACATTTTTTTAAGTTTGATTCATTTTTATGAATTTTGTAGAAAGTTTACAAGAACGAGCGGTTTCGAAGCGGTGGACTAGTGGGAAAGGGGTGTTAGCTAAGTAGGGTTGAGCTAAGGTGTGACAGGGTGATTGATGTCATGGGGGCAGATTCCAAATGCTGGACTCTAATTAGGAACATAATTTTNACAGGGTGATTGGTGTCATGGGGGCAGATTCCAAATGCTGGACTCTAATTAGGAACATAATTTTCTCCTTTACAAAAATATATTTCTACAATCTCGTTCCGGCGCGATGCGCTAACTGTCAAAAGTTTTTAAATAATTTAAAATATTTCCTGTCAAATTGAGGGATAGGACATTTCGTTATTTTACACCTAAAAATTGTGGTAAATTTACTGGGCTAATAAGTTTTTAGTGTTTTTGGAATACAAATAGCGAAAAACAAATTTTTTTTTCTGGGTACATCCTCTACGCGACTTCAAATTTCATTGCTATAGTTATCCGTGTTGTCGTTCCTCACTATAATTTTCAAGCTTTTGCTGTTAAGAATTAAGAGCAACTGAGTTGTTTTTTGATCCTTTTGTACGGTTTTGAGCATTCTCCAATTGTGCGTGAATATGCCGGATATAATTATTAGCGTAACCCTGTGACCAGTCAGCGGTTAAGCATGATAGAGGCGAGTTTAATTTGCCCTGACTTACTTGCAGCACCAGGCCCGGCAATTCACGTTCACCCCGTGAACGTAATGAGAAAAACTTATGTATGTAGTCCTATGTGGGCGGTATCACGCCCATTTTCCAAAATTCCAAATAATGTTACTTCTTTTCAAGGTATTGTTTTAAGTATCGATTTTGAGTAAATTAGCGTCCTTAAATTTTGAAATATAGAAGTTTGAAGCATTTCTGAAATTTACCGTTATATGACAAGTGGCCGTAATTTTAGTCCGATTTCAATAATTTTTAACGTTTTGCTTTTGTCTGGCAAGCACAATAACCGTACCGGGTTTAGCACAAATTGGTAGAACGGCTACCGAGATACATACATATATGTGATCATAAGTGGGCGGTGCCACGCCCATTTTCCAAAATTTTATCATATACGTATTTCTTTGCAATGAATTATTGCAAGCATCAATTTTGAATAAATTACCTTTAGTATTTACTGATTTATCGAAGATATCGTATTTCTCTAAGTTACCGTTATATGCGATATGGGCGTGGTTATTGTCTGATTTTAAAAAATTTCAGCCATTTAGTATATTGTACCAAGGCCAATAACTGTGCTAAGTTTGGGAGAAATTGGTGGAGCAGTTACCTAGATATACACATGTAATCATAAGTGGGTGCGGCTGCGCCTATTTTCCAAAAATTTATAATATACTTCTTTTTAGTCTAAAAGTTAGTTAATAAAATCGCAGTTTACGTATTTCTGAAAACTACCGTTATGTAGGATGTGGGCGTGGTTATTTTCAATACCATCTCTCCTACGTCCGAAAAAAGTACGCGTACCAAGTTTCGTTAAGATATCTCAATTTTTACTTGAATTATCGTGTGCACAGACGGACGGACGAACAGACATTTACATATCTATCTCGATTCGTTTTGGCTGTTACAAACAACCGTTATGTGAACAAAGTTATAAATACCCTTGTGCAAAAGTGAGCTCGGGTATAAAAAGATCACCGTACACNTCTATTTAACTTAATTTTATATTGCTTCATTATATCTAATTTACTCTTTATTTTATTTTATATATATATATTTTACTCAACTTAATTTTTGTATATTACGTTTTTAATTTTGTCTTTCATTGTTCTGTATAACTCAATTTTTATTTTATTTTGGTTTATTTACTTTTTGTTTTGTTTTACTTTATTTTACTTTTTGTATAATTTTATTTATGTATTTGCATTTTATTTTACTTTGTTGTTATTTTTAATATTTATTTTATTTAATTTTAATTTTATTACTTAATTTAGTTCTATTTTACATTGTTTATTTTTCATTAATTCCTTGTTTGATTTGATTTTATCTTTGCATACTTAATTTGATTTTGTTTTTCTTTTTTATTCTGTTACATATAATTTTGCATTATTCCATTATTTTACTTTGTTTCATTTTATTTTAATTTGTAAAATTAGTTTAATATTATATTGTTTTACTTTATTTTGTTTTGTTTTGTCTCATTCACTTTTTTCATTTTATTTTTTCTACTTGCTTTTCTTCTTGTTGCATTTATTATAATAATATTTGATAGTAATTATATACTTTTTTTCTTATTTACCTTTCGTGTTGACTTTTTATTTTGTTTAATTTTTATATTATTTTATCTATTTTTTGTTTCATTTTATTTTTACTTTGTTTTATACTATTTGCTTATTGTTTTGTTTTATTTTATCTTATTGCATTTTATTATGCTATATCATTATATAATTTTAAATTTATTCAACTTAATTTTCATTAATTATTATAATTCTATTTTTTTTTGTATACTGATTGAATTAATTTGATTTTATTCCTTTTTTATATTATTTTATGTTATTGTATTTATTTTTATTTTTGTTTTAATTCATTTTATTTCGGGTTATTTATTTTTTTGTTTATATTTTATTTCCTTTTATTATGTATAGTTTTATTCTGCTATGTTTTGTTTTATTTACTTTTTGTTTTTTTATTTTTTTTTTTTATATACAATTTTTTATTTTTATTTACTTTTATTTGTTCAGTTTCTTTTACTTTATATTTTATTTTATAAATTTTTTTATTTTATTTAATTTATATTGTTTAATTTAAATTTATATCGCTTTATTATATTTTCTTTTAATTTATTTCACTTTACAAAGTGTTTATTTTAATAAAATTTTTATAATTTTTTAAACTGACACTCATTCTTAAAATCTCCGCTCCACTACTCGTACTTACCGTCACCAACTGAAAGCCCACCATGCAAATTAGAACTGACGAAATCATGAAGTTCACCAGCATAATAGGACTAAAGAACCCTTCCAGCTGATTGATGAAGCTGGAAAAAAAAATATTCCGAATTATGTTCTCTCGCTTAACACACGTTCCCCGTCCATGTTCTCACTCAAACAACACGCTATGCTTGGCAGCAATTTTATCCAGCCGTCGGATGCATTCCCGTTGATAGTCAGCCTCTGTGCCGCCACGACCACCCCGAACTGTTGCATACGAATCGATTGTGATATTGTCGATTTTGTTATGTAAAATATTTAATTGTCCACAAGTATAGGTTACAAAGAAGCCAAATAAGGAATCCTCGGAGAAAAGTGTGGTCACCACGCAAACACCAGCCCATGCTGTGAAAACATAAGTGAGAGCATATCGCCAGCCATGATTTGCGTCATAGGGGAATAACATTTTGTACGGAAACGGTTTCTTGATGGGCACTAAGCCGTCGGCATCATTCAATGTTAGCATGTAGAGCTCGAATAGTGGCATAACGCAGTACATTGTAATGAGACAGGATTCCAATACTGAAATAACCTGATAGACGCGCATATTACGTGCACAAGCGCGCTCAACGGAAGGATACGAAGATCTGAGGACGAGAGAATTGTATAAGCGTACAATGCTATTGCATTCTGATATGCCCTTCAAAACAATTCATATACACATACTTAGTAATCCAGATATCCTTTACGAATTGCGCAATCATCTGATGAAATTCCTTTTGGTGCAGTCGAAGGTGTAACAGGCGTGCGAAATTTAGAACTCCCATAAATGTGGTGCAGCCATTCTCGGTGGTCACCGATATATCGCCGAAGGATGTAACAAGGAAGGCCGTTTGAAAACCGATAGTTATGCCAACCATGGCCACGACATACCAGGCCCACACGCTGTACAGAAAGCCAAAAAAATTCTCAAATGCATTGGACGGAATTCGCTTTAACGGCCACGAGCCATTTAGTTTCAACCAAATGCATTGTACAGGAAATTTAAAATGTATTGGATCTCTTAACGGTTTCGGATTGAATAACATTCTTAAAAGTATTCACTTTTTTTTTAAGAAGAAATTTTCTATTTTAGTTATAGCTCTTCTCAGCAATAACAAAAGTGATTCTCTAAAAACTGACATTTCGCCGCTATTCCTTTGGTATTTATACATAAATTTGGTGGGCATGCATTTTGNAAGTATTCACTTTTTTTTTAAGAAGAAATTTTCTATTTCAGTTATTGCTATTCTCAGCAATAACAAAAGTGAATCTCTAAAAACTGACATTTTGCCGCTATTCCTTTGGTATTTATACATAAATTTGGTGGGCATGCATTTTGGCGTTGAATTTCAGGTGGGCGTGTAACTGTATTTAAAGTGTCCATTTATCTTCCGCACGCATTGACATATAAACAGCATTTTTAATTAGTTGATTTCGTCCAATTATTTATTTGGTTGAAAGGCAATAACTACATACATACTTACATACTTATATAGGCGGAAGGAAGTGATAGATTTTTGATGTGTAATTTTAATATCTTCTAGTCTAAAGTGCATNAATTTTTAATTAGTTGATTTCGTCCAATTATTTATTTGGTTGAAAGGCAATAACTACATATGTACATACATACATACTTATATAGGCGGAAGGAAGTGATAGATTTTTGATGTGTAATTTTAATATCTTCTAGTCTAAAGTGCATATGTATGTATATCAAACGAAAGCGACGTGTACACGCCCCTTCGTGAGTTTTATTTATGTGCCAAATAGAGCTAGCTGTCAAGTAGTGGCGCATCTGCACTTAATACGTAATGTGGAAGGCCCGTTGTGATATCACGACTGGAAAATATTCATTACTCCTTGCTGAACAACTTTGAGTTCTTGGGTACCACGTTAGACAACTTAGACTTATACCCAGCATTTCACATGGGTCGTCAAAAACGTCGACGTCAGGAATTTCCACCAGCTTCCCTTCCTCATAATAGTTTTTGCAGCACTAATTGTGTGAGATTTTATTATTAATATGTTCCAACTTAAACCAAATAAGTTGTGAGACCTCTCTCGATCCCTTCGTACCTTACATTCATCTTTCATTTTCTAGAGCATAGAACTTTGTTTTTTTCAGGAGTAAAAGGCATACCAGCACGTCCAATTCCTGGAAGAATGTATACTAGAAACCTCATCATCGTATTCTGCCTTCAACGCTTGTGCAGAATATGGTCAGATGAACGCATGCGCGACGATTGGCATTTAAGTGTGCACTCCCCAATCCAAAAGAAGGCGATCCCGCCCTTTATAAGGTCTTATCTAGGGTATTGTGTGAAAGATTGAATCCCACCGCCAACGAACTGATTGGGCCTTAGTAGGCAATTCAGTAGCAAAAGTCCTCTCTCGACGTACGAAAACCACCCTCTTATAAGTCACTTATCATGCCCGTATTGGTATATGGCGCAGAAGCATGGACAATGAATGACAACAACCGATGAGGCGGCTCTTGGAGTGTTGGGAAAAGTTTTTGCGGAAGATTTACGGGCCTTTACGCATTGGCGACGGCGANGACAACAACCGATGAGGCGGCTCTTGGAGTGTTGCGAAAAGTTTTTGCGGAAGATTTACGGGCCTTTACGCATTGGCGACGGCGAGTACCGCAGATGATGGAACGGTGAGCTGGATGAGCTTTACAACGACATAGACATAGTGCAGCGAATTAAAGTACAGCGGCTCCGCTGGCTTGGCCATGTCGAAGAAGAAGGAAGAAGGGGCCCCCACTGCGATGGAAGAACCAAGTGAAGAATGACCTGGCTTCACTTGGTATTTCCAATTGGCGTCAGCTGGCACAGAAGAGAAACGACTCGCGTGCTTTGTTTAATTCCTTGAAGAAGAAGATATAGAATACATAATGAGTTTTCCAAAATTAATTAAAAAAAACTTTGGAGGCAATTTTACTTACTAAACAACTATTTAAAAATAAAACCTCTTTCGATTTTAGTGCGACTTGTAGAAAAATACTAAAATTTCTTCAAGTAATATATTATGCTTGGGAATAGTCCATCTATGCCTGATGTACATTCATATATGATAGATATGGGCAAATCTCCGGAAACATGTGCTTTTGTGTCACTCACCTTTAAATTAATTTTATTGATGTAATTTTACTTTTTATAAGAAACTTGGGTGATTTGGATAACAAATGTGACGACTTCTTGTAACTTATCTAAATTTTTTTATTTTAATAATGTAATTTTAATTTTTATAAACAATCAAAGTAATTAAAATAACAATTCTAACGTGTCACTTTGGGTACTCTTTGTACGTTTTTTGAGTATAACTTTATCAGCGCAAACGGAGTCATTCAGAAATCATGGCAAATAGTAAATGTAATATTGGAAAATGCATGAGGCGTTGAGAAAATATGTGCTCTCATTGGAAATAAACTGTAACAATTTGAAATCTGTCACTCGTAAATAAAAGAGGTAATATCTTAAGTTCTTCTTCATTCTGCACTTTCAGCGATTACTAAATTGTTCTCATTGTTCTTTTACAGTTGTGTGCCTTTCAAAATATTGAAGATATAACAAATATTGTCTGAATATGTCTTTGCGTGAATGGTTTCAAATTTCTAATTTTTTTGATAGCACACTGACAGGACTAAGCGTGATCGTTAGATAAAATTCTTCAAAAGTTCGTTGAAAATATAAAAATACGGCCATGAATATATACAGTGGTTTGGCTATATTTCTTTGGTTTATTATATGCTTAATATGTTTTTTATAAAAGCCTGGCTAGTTATAAAACAAACACCATATAAATCCACTTTTCACCAAATTTTCAAACTTTTTATTCAGAATTTTTAGTATGCAGTTTTGTAGCCCATTCAATTTTAGTACAATAAAGTGCAAGTTCCATTTGGCTATTTACAAAAATTAAACTTCAAAAATCATAAACAAGTACTTACTTTCAATTCATTATTTCACATTTTTCGGAATCCGGGGATTAATACAAGCAAATCTCGGGATTTTCGGGATTAGAAAAGCACTGGCATCCCTAGTATGCAATTGTTTGTTAAACTACCTATGTACCGATATTACAACCATTCTAAAAAAACCATTCCCCAAAAAAATTAAACTTTAATAAAAAAGACATGTTTTTAATATTTTGTTCCATTGAAGTTGATAATTTACAATTTCGGTTTATTTATTTATTTAGTTAATAAGTTTGTCATTAATGCAATTTATAGCATACATTTTTCCATATAATAAAACTTTACAAGTCATAACAAATTCGTTTACTTTCTATACATTACAAATATACATACATACATAAAATAGTAAATAGGACAAAAAAAACGACGACATTAATACACAAGTGAAAATTTAACATAAAAATTAAAATATTTTACAATTTTACAAAAAACATACAAATAAATGAGTATGTAATAAATTAACTTACTTGGCAATGATTTCTGTATTATCTACGAATACGTAAGTAAAATTTATTATAAATAAAGCATACAAGTAAATAAGTTATAATACGGTTAAAAGCTTGGGATATTGCTTGCACATTAATTAAGCTAATCAGTCAGAGGTTAGAGTTGCGACCGAGCAAATTTAATTTAGTAAAAACACATAAACATATCTATCTGTAGGTATGCATTTAGTAATGAGAGTAAATAGGTAAATCAATTTCTTTAAAAGCGCGAGAATAAAAGGCGTGACTAATTTTCATTTAATATTCAAAGAGATTGATTTTGTTTTAAAAAAGTGTGACACTTTATAGAAGGGTACGGGGTGTTTACAACGAATTCTGTTCAATATTTAAAATATCGAGCCCTAACCGCCAAAAAAACGTAAGCGACATATTTTTCAAAAAATTCCTTCTTGATGCAGAAATGCCCGTAGAGCATCTAGATGTAATTCTGCATTAAAAAGAAAATTTTGAAAAAATGTCACTTACGTTTTTCTTGGCAAGCTATGGAAAGAGATAATTGCAGAAGCATATTATATTAAATGTAAAAAAAAAGATTAGTGAAAACAAAAATTAACCAAACTAGGAACATACAAGTAATTTTTAAGCAAAAACAAAACCGACTGCGATTCGCACATACAAATTTATTTTACTGTTAATTTCTTCATGATCACTTCTAAACCAAATTGGTATGGGCCAAAATTTCCTTAAAAAAAAGAATTGTAGAAATCCGTTAAGGTGGTCCAAAGTTATGCGGCAACATACATAAGAAAAATATTCCGACGAATTGATAACCTCCTCATTTTTTTTTAAAGTCGGTTAAAAATAAAATAAAACAGAGCAAAAGAAACAAAAATAGGTGCAATAAAAATTTATAATTGTAAGTAAAAATGAAATTGTAGAAATAAAAATGAAGCAAAAATAAACAAGTAATTTTTAAGCAAAAAAATAAAACCGACTTCAATTCTCATATAAAAATTTAAGAGTACCGTTAATGTCTTCATGATCCATTGGTCGGATCTAAACCAAATTAGTCTGGGACTACCTCTGAGGTATCACCTTTCCTTTAAAAAAAGAATTATAGAAATCGTTTAGGGTGGTCAAAAGTCATGCGGAAACATACATAAAAAAATATACCGGCGAATTGATAACCTCTTCATTTTTTTAATCCGTTTAAAAANACCGTTAATGTCTTCATGAACCATTGGTCGGATCTAAACCAAATTAGTCTAGGATTACCTCTGAGGTATCACCTTTCCTTTAAAAAAATAACTATAGAAATCGTTTAGGGTGGTCAAAAGTCATGCGGAAACATACATAAAAAAATATACCGGCGAATTGATAACCTCTTCATTTTTTTAATCCGTTTAAAAAATGAGTTTTTTATACAACACAACGCATTCCCTTTGGTTTTTTTTTCTACTCGACATAGACTGAGTGCCGGCTATAAAACTGTATAACGTTACCTTAATATAAATACCATAACTCAAAAAGTGTTCAAATGTAGCTTTTTTTAATTCGCAATGTCTTTCAAGTTTATTTTTTTTTGTTTTTTTTTTTTTTAATATTGTTCATGCTTTAAAGTTTAACCTATTTCGGCTCAGTGATGCGAAAACACATCTATCTACATATCACCACATACTTCACACTTAACACTACAAATTTGTCCATCGAAATTTTTTCGTAGCGCNAATATTGTTCATGCTATTTCGGCTCAGTGATGCGAAAACACATCTATCTACATATCACCACAAACTTCACACTTAACACTACAAATTTGTCCATCGAAATTTTTTCGTAGCGCGAAAGTGTCTTCATCAAAAATCAACGCGAAACTGTATCAACACGATTTTTCCTTTTTGGGTTTATAAAATAGCAGTAAAATTGTTAAAATTAAAAATAATCAGCAAATTCGCATCGAAATTTAGAACCTTTTAATCAAAATTTTTAGAACATTTTTGGATACGTGATTTTACAACCCATAAAATCAGCTTTAACTTTTAGCCGCTTGAAACTTGCACTTTCAAAACAGTCTACAGTTTCAGATTAAAAAGTTCGAAATTTTGCTGAAAATTGGTTGAATTCTTCTAAACTTGGTATACAGTTTGGGCTGAAGAATGAACAATATTTTTGTAAAAAAAATTTCACTTGCAAAAAGATTGTGAATATAAAAAAAGAAACATGGGAACACACGTTTGCGTCACTGTAAATAGAAAGGGCTTTTTTGTCTCTTTACAAAGTAGTTATAAAAAGAAAAAATAAAAAAAAAATAAATTCTTCAGTTGCCAATGTCTTCAAAGCCCTGCTCATTAAAAACACTCAAACTAACTAAATGACGGTAATTAATAGTTAGTTGTTTTTAAATTGTTTTTGGTAAGTTCTCCTCAGACTTTTGTACAAAAGCGCAGGTTTGAAAAAAATCAGTTAGGACCTTTGTTTATTCAGATAGCGATTATTTAAATGAAAACTATTAATTACAAAATTAAAAATTTTATATAATAAATTAACAAAAACATTGCAAAATACTCACTGTATAAACATTAGGGGTGTGCTTAGCCTTCGGCTTTAAAACTTTTCATTGCATATTTTATGCGATTGAATGACTTGGGTAAGACTTGAAAATAAAAGCATTTTTTTATTTTAAAAGAAAAACAAATAAGATTTCGCCAATAAAGTTACAAATTTTCGTTGAAAATTAGAAGTGCGCCATAGGTGAGTTATTTGAAACTTAATGCAACCCTCTTGCGACAGTTTAACAAAATTATTCAATAAAAAAATTTTAATTTAGATACTTGCTTTTTTCTTATTGGAGCGATTATTATTTAACAATTTTCGGAGGCTTCGTTTATTAAAAAAAAAAAAAAACATTTTGAAAAACATAAAATAATAGCAATAAAACAACAAAAACTATATACGATAAGTCAGTGTGATTTTCAATTTACTGAGTAGCAATTTAAATATGTAGATAAAATTCAAACAATATTTTGTTTAATTAATATGCCAAGGTATTTAAGGTGTTACATAAATAAAATTGCCTTGAGGTGTTTGACTAAAAATTTCAAAAGAATTTCACACATTTTTTACAATTCTTAAGTTGGAGTACCTTAAATTTGTTTGGTTTTCGATAAAAATTATTTTGATTTTGTAACTGTAAACCGCAATTAGCAATAATTTAGCATTTTTGACTATGGTTGAACTGTTTTTTTTTTTTTTAAATGAATTTTTTGTGTTTTCTTTTTTATTTTACATGATGCTTCCTGATTTTTTATACTTAATACATGCATACATAGCCGCCATTAAAGCATTATACGTACATACATACATATGTATATCTGCATTGCAATTATGTAGGTATGTATCTGTACTGGGTGTGAATGTCATAATATTTTTGCTTTGCCTTCAGTTTGTTTTTTGTTTAAATTTTTTTTTGTTTTTATTAAATTAGCGCGGCTTCATTTTTCACGTGGCTAGTAGGATTTTTGTTTGTTTAAGCATGTATGTACCTTTTTTGTTTGAATTATTCTAATTACATATATGTTTCTTTGCACATTCCTCAATTACATCCATACATACCCGCGGACATTTATAAAATTGAAAGACATACGACGACCTTCTGAATGCTCTTTTATGCTGGCTTATAAAAAAAAACTATTTTTAATATGTAGAATATATATATAACAATTTTAATTAATACACACAAATGTATGTGCACGTAATCACATATGTACGCACATTAGGGCGGAGTAATTTATTTTCGAAAAAAGTGTATGGCATATTCGAATTCTACGTTCGATTCTAAGCAGAAATGGTGAACAAATTTTATAACAAAAATGACATTTGACCCTCCCAATTTTTAAAAGAAACATCAGATTATTATAATTTTTTCTGAACGAAGTTAACTTTTCATTTTCAAAAATTTTGTGTTTTCTACAAATTTAAGAAACTACTTCACAAAACCTATTGCAATTTTAAAATTTTTTGGCACAATGAAAAATAAATTTTGACCAATAAAGCTACGACATATTGCTTTTTCTTTTAAAAATTGGGAGGGTCAAACGTTTTTGCACAGAATTAGATAATCGTAGAATTTGAATTTACTATACACTTTCTTCGAAAATTTTGCTCTTAACAACTCCGCCCTAATGCACATATATATGTAAATACATACATATATAGAAAATCTATGCTCTACATAACTTTCTTTTTTATGCCTGCGAAAATTTGTTGAATGTTTTTTTTGCTGTTTTATTTGCCATATTATTCCTTATGCCATTTTCCATTTTCTATACGCCGTCCTTTTCTCTTTTGCAATTTACAATTTGCATTTCACATTTGCATTTCAATGCGGCTTTAAATAGACAATCAATCAAACAATCATCAATCACATATAGCTCGAGTGTAACGGTAAATTGTATATAAATGTAAATTTAAAGTAAAATTTAGCTAGCAAACACTTTACAATAACAACTCAATTTTAAATGGAAGGAATAACGCAATCTCAAAATTCAATTTCTTCTTACACAACTTGCCACTCTGCCTCTGCCTCTGACTACACATTTTTCATTTTTCACTCATAGCACGCAGTTCGCAGCCGTCTGTTAGCAATTTGCATTCTCCATTTAACTTTTAAATTATGTTACATACATACATATGCATACGTACATATGTACATTAGGCCATTCCAGAAAAAAAGTTCCTCGCACACACCTGAGTCTAAAGTATTTTTGTTAGGCAATTTCGGAAAAGGATTTGTTTTTCGCCGTACGTAGGGTCGCCCTTTTGCATTTTTCGGCATATCTTCAGCATTTACAGTCGGATCTTAAAATATGAGATATGTAGCTAACAATAATTTTGTCTCGTGTAGCAAGTTTTTCTTTTCCAAAGCATCGAGTACCCCATTCTAGTACCTACATACCAGTTCTCAGTTGTTATCACCCTAACGTCAGTAAAGTAAGGCTCGTCAAAAAACGTGACTTTTACCAGGGAAGTATTTTGATTCGAAGACAATCTCGATTGTTTTTTCGAACGTAGGGTTCGCCCTTTTAAATTTTCCTTATACCTTCAGCTTTTCCATTCTGATTCTCCTAACGCACCACCCTGATGTCAGTAAATTTAAGCTCACCAAAAATAATTAAACTATTGTTAAAGAAATATTTCGATGATTTCAGCAGAACTATTTTAAAAATTTGTTTTTATTGCCGAATGTTTGTGGCACGATAAAGGTTTGGCGAAACAATTTTTTTTTCAAATTGCCTTGCAAAAACTCTTTAGACTCAGCGGTGTGCGGCGCACTTTTTCGTTTGCCTGAAAGGTGGTACGGCCTAATATACATACATACATACAAAGAGTAGTAAACTAAACTCAAGTCAATGCAATTGAATTTCATAAACTCTGTCTTTGTTTATAATTCACTACTTAATTTTATTAACATAAATATTATATCTACAAGTACACGTTATTTTGAATGTAAATATATATGTTTATATATATATAAGTAAGTAAGTATGTTATATTATTTATTACTATACATATGTTTATTCATGTTAAACCCTTTTGCACAAATTTCTTCTCCGGTCGACAACTATAAACCTCTAAGTTTCCTTAGACCCCTACACTTAAATGTACTAATAACTGCTTCTCACAAGTTTTCAGCTTTTTTGTTTATTTATTTATTTTTTAAATTATTTTTTTTTTAAGACTTGCTCCGTATTATCTTTTTCACTTTAAATTAAATTTATTTTGTTTTTTAATTTTCACTATTTTAAAAATTTGCCAACTACTATACTTGGATTCACAATCTTCACATTTGAAACATTCTACCAAATACTCGTATTCTCATTTTCATATTTGTTTATATTATTTAGTTTTGATTTAAAACTATACTCGCTTATTTGAGTTTAACTTCAATTATTAGAAAATATATTTCTTCCGTTTTTTTTTNAATATATATGTTTATATATATATAAGTAAGTAAGTATGTTATATTATTTATTACTATACATATGTTTATTTATGTTAAACCCTTTTGCACAAATTTCTTCTCCGGTCGACAACTATAAACCTCTAAGTTTCCTTAGACCCCTACACTTAAATGTACTAATAACTGCTTCTCACAAGTTTTCAGCTTTTTTGTTTATTTATTTATTTTTTAAATTATTTTTTTTTTAAGACTTGCTCCGTATTATCTTTTTCACTTTAAATTAAATTTATTTTGTTTTTTAATTTTCACTATTTTAAAAATTTGCCAACTACTATACTTGGATTCACAATCTTCACATTTGAAACATTCTACCAAATACTCGTATTCTCATTTTCATATTTGTTTATATTATTTAGTTTTGATTTAAAACTATACTCGCTTATTTGAGTTTAACTTCAATTATTAGAAAATATATTTCTTCCGTTTTTTTTTGTTTTTCTTTTGTATGCATTATAATTATAATATATTTAAATTAATTTATTTGCTATTGGCTAATTTAGTTACAAAATACAGCATGTCGTTGAACAGCATCTACTGGAACCTCCTTTACTCTTTTGTCTTTGATCTGTTTATAAGAGGAAGATAAAGAAAATATTTTTGTTACTCAACTTTTATATACATTCGAGTGCGTTTTGAAAATTTTACTTAAGTTAAGCGATGAATTTAGTTTCTGATTTAAATATATTTGAACCGATCACCAAGACCGTCGAAAAACGGGGTGAGGGGGTTTAATTTTCCCGGGCCAGGCTGAATTTTTAGAGCCCAGACAAAGAATAACATTGAAAAAAAGGAGTACATAAAAAAATGCAAGTATGATAATTCATAGAATAAAATGTTTTATTTGAAACAGGGATTTTGTGCTTTTCTCGAATATGAAACATGTACATTAGGGCGGGGCAATTTTTTTTTTGCTATGCGCGTGTGAAACTATTTCGAGGAAAATGTGAAAATTTTCACTGTAGCGCCCTCTGGTGGAAGTTTAGGAAAAATATAAGCGCAGAAATGGGTTCCTCATACCAAAAACCCCTTATAGCAAGTTTTTATACAAAATTTAAGCACTTCTTTACGACACTACAGCAAAATGCTAAGTAATCTATTTTTCCAATTTGGCAAACTCGAAATTGATTTTAGACCCATACTTTCNACTATTTCGAGGAAAAAGTGAAAATGTTCACTGTTGCGCCCTCTGGTGGAAGTTTTAGGAAAAATATAAGTGCAGAAATGGATTCCCCATACCAGAAAACCCCTTGCAGCAAGTTTTTATACAAAATTTTAGCACTTCTTTACCACACTATAGCAAAATGCTAAGTAACCTATTTTTCCAATTTGGCAAACTCGAAATTGATTTTAGACCCATACTTTCTTCGGCAAATTTGCTTAGAATTACACGTAGAATCCTTCTATGCTTTACGCGCATAGTAGAAAAAATCTCCCAAGTGCAAAACTGAGCCAGCAGTGATTTTTGTTAAATATTTCTAAGGTTTTTAAAGTTATAATTTTTTTTAATTTTTAATTAGAAGGGCTGTTACGATTATAATAAAACTGCGAGATCGTAATATTGTTGTAAGGCTTAATCTGAATATGCCATNCCTATTTCGAGGAAAATGTGAAAATTTTCACTGTAGCGCCCTCTGGTGGAAGTTTAGGAAAAATATAAGCGCAGAAATGGGTTCCTCATACCAAAAACCCCTTATAGCAAGTTTTTATACAAAATTTAAGCACTTCTTTACGACACTACAGCAAAATGCTAAGTAACCTATTTTTCCAATTTGGCAAACTCGAAATTGATTTTAGACCCATACTTTCTTCGGCAAATTTGCTTAGAATTACACGTAGAATCCTTCTATGCTTTACGCGCATAGTAGAAAAAATCTCCCAAGTGCAAAACTGAGCCAGCAGTGATTTTTGTTAAATATTTCTAAGGTTTTTAAAGTTATAATTTTTTTTAATTTTTAATTAGAAGGGCTGTTACGATTATAATAAAACTGCGAGATCGTAATATTGTTGTAAGGCTTAATCTGAATATGCCATAAAATTTATAGTTTGACAGTTGACAGCTGTCAAAAACAAACTGTAAATTTTTCTAAAACTAAGAAAATATTTTTTAAGATACGGGTTTTAGACATGCTGAACACGAATTTTATGTCAAATTAAAACCTTAAGAGTTTACAACTGTCGAAGGGGCTGTCGATTTCTCTAGAAATAAGGAAAATTTCCCAAGAATTAAACGTACTACGTTTTAATACTCACTGACAGACGGTTGTTATATGTTCAGTCTAAACAATTTCATTCAAATCGACTAGTGAGAGAACTTCTTTGGCCGAGATATGCAAGAAGATTAAAACGAAAGGATTTTTTCGATAAAATCAAATTGTGCGCAATATGGGTGGATAATAGTTTTTGATATCCGAAATTTAATAATTTTCTGCTCTGGCTGACACCCAAGAGGAAATCCAGTGGCCGTGCGGCTGGGAGATTTGTCCTTTCGACCGAACACAGCCTACTGGATTGTAATTAATTAAATATGGTGATTTGAATGAAGCTTAATGTTAGTTTCGTAAGAAAAATTCAGTAAATCAATAAAACTGTAGATACCAATCCATATCCACTTACCTTGCGAGTTGGGTTCTGGCAAATTATCACGCGGCACTAAATGCATTACAGTCGTTTTGCCTAGCGGAAGTCCCAGTGCTCCTAATGTAACATTGCAATGTAGAAATCTACCTTGATAAATGAGACGTAATATTTCGGCCTTGGAGACGGCTTCGCGTTCCCAATCTGCAATGGAAAATTTGTAAAATGCATGTATTTAAAATTTAGTGTGTCAAATGGAGGTTTAAATGCACTGTGCGACAGTTTTATGACAATTCAAACTAGCCCGGACTTTGCTAATATTTTCTGAAAGTATGTGTACATATCCTAGGCTGGTTTCGGCAGTAGCACAGTGATATTTTAAGGTGGAAGAAATATTGTAGTACATACTTTAAACCAGTACTATTTGGTTTAACAAGAACCAGTTTCATATTTGCAGCTAATTACAGTGGCCTTTAAAATACCCACTATATACATTAGGTTGGTTCTCAAAAATTTCAACATTTAAATTTTGAGTAGGCACCCTTTTATTTTGTTCGTAGAAAATTTATACATAGCAGGTTAAAGGGAAAAATTTAAAAATTTGTTAAACTCTGGTATCGGATCCCTAAAAATTTTTCAATTTTTTTTAATTTTCTTAAAGGTATTTACAGGGTATAAAATAATAACTGTCGCACAGGTTTTTTGGATAATAAAAGGGCATTTTAAAGATTTTGCGAAAAAAGTATTTTATTTGTAAATTTTACACAGAATTTACTTTAATTTTACTAATTAGTTTTTAAATTTAACTTTTATTTGGGTTTACCAGCGGTAAACTTTTGGAGAGAAAAGCACAAGCAGCACGCAAGTATTCGTCAATTAATTTATTCCATATCTTCTGTAACCATTGGCTAATTTCCTCCATTGTGAGTCCCCCTTTTGTACAACATAGGGCCTCATACTCAGCAATCGTAAAGACCGGAACAGATGACTAGGACGGCCATTCATTCGACTAACCCTATACAGTTTTTCTTTTTTTAAAAAGTCTAAGAAAAAATATACCTGAAAAGACTTGCGTGACGCATTTACGTATCTCGCGAAGTTTAAAATTTACTTTTAATTAATAAAAATAAAGTATACTGTGCAACAGTTATTATTTTACACCCTGTATTATATACGTAGATATTTTTAAAGGCCCACCCTAATGCTCATGGATATAGCAAAATAAATTGCAACACCAACAATTGCCTTCTCCTCTTTTCACACTCTCTGAAAAATGGAAGTTTTAGATTGTACCTAATATCATCAAATAAATGCACCTAAATGAAAAATATTGTACCTAAAAAAGTTGCATTATTCGTTTGCGGGTTTTTAGTTAATCTTATTTCACACATGAATACAGACGATGGATGTACTTTCAATTTGATTAGGTTTTTTGTTTTTTAACTGAGCTTATATTATCGGCCGCTGTGGTGCAGTGGTAAGCAGTGCGCGCTTCCACTCCGCAACGCGTGGGTTCAAACCCTGATCAAAGCAACATCGCAAAAAAATACAGAAAACAGGTTTTTTCTTAACAGCGGTCGTCCCTCGGCAGGCAATGGCAAACCTCCGAGTGTATTTCTGCCATGAAAAACAGCTTCTCATAAAAATACAATCGCCGTTCGGAGTCGGCGTAAAACTGTAGGTCCCTCCGCTTTGTGTGACAACATCAAGGCNAAATTTGCCAAAGTTAGAAACGATACATCATATCTTTCTTTTAATTTTAAGCGTTGCAACTTTTTTGACTTGAACAATCTATTTCTAGAAATTAACTGGGATAGCTTGTTTTACAACTTAGACACTAACAGTTCTTTCGAGAAATTTAGAACAACAGTTGTGGATCTTTGTAAACAGTCTATTCCTTTGGTTTCAAAAAAGAAGTACAAAGTTCCCTGGCATAATGCAGCCCTGATGAAAATTCGAAATCTGAGGAATAAGTTTTTCCGCAAGTTTAAAAATAGTAAAAATATGGTGTTCTTCGAAAAGTATAAAGAGTTTGAAAAGAAGTTCGCTTGTCTAGATAAATTTTTGCACAGAAATTACATTTTAAGTTTTGAAGAAAACTTAAAAACAAATCCAAAATCGTTTTGGAATTTTGTTAAGTCAAAAAAGTCTGTGTCGAATATTCCGTCCTCTCTCTTCCTTGGCGACAAAGCNCTGTAAGCCTGTAAGATTTTCTATTCTGATTGGCTTAATAAATAAATACTAAATAAATACTAAATACTAAACGCCAATCTATTATTATTAATATTATTATATCTATATACCAGCTACGTCCAAGTCATGTCTCGCCGCATAAAAAAGCCAAATCAATGTTAAAATCTTCAATCTTCAATAAGTTCCTCATTAGCTGGGGTAGAATCCGTTTAAAAAATGCTTAGANGTGGGTTCAAACCCTGATCAAAGCAACATCGCAAAAAAATACAGAAAACAGGTTTTTTCTTAACAGCGGTCGTCCCTCGGCAGGCAATGGCAAACCTCCGAGTGTATTTCTGCCATGAAAAACAGCTTCTCATAAAAATACAATCGCCGTTCGGAGTCGGCGTAAAACTGTAGGTCCCTCCGCTTTGTGTGACAACATCAAGGCGCACGCCACAAATCGGAGGAGAAGCTCGGCCAAACACTAACATATGTGTAAGCGCCAATCTATTATTATTATTATNATATCTATATACCAGCTACGTCCAAGTCATGTCTCGCCGCATAAAAAAGCCAAATCAATGTTAAAATCTTCAATCTTCAATAAGTTCCTCATTAGCTGGGGTAGAATCCGTTTAAAAAATGCTTAGAGGATCTCCTTACTTCAATTTAAAAAATCTTTCCTAACCTTTAGAGCGACTTAACTCACATACAGTATTGGCCAATACAATAGCACCCCCATTTCAAAGTGATATTGTTCGCCACTCATGTTTATTTATTTTTTTTTTAAGAATTTTCAATTAAAATACAGTTCATTCTCTCACAAAACTCACATAAACTCAAGTTTAAAACTTTTTAAAAGAGCGCAAAAAAGTGCAACAAATTTTCACCCAAATTTCAAACTTTTTTCTCAGAAGCGGTAGAGTTTTTTTGAATACACAGTTTTATAGCCCATTAAATTTTAGTCTAATAATGTGCAAGCTTCAAGTGGCTAAAAATTACCGCTGACTTTTTAGAATTTTTTTCGCCGAGGATGTTGCGGGTTTCTGCCATATAAAAATAAATTGTGTTTANTTATTATATCTATATACCAGCTACGTCCAAGTCATGTCTCACCGCATAAAAAAGCCAAATCAATGTTAAAATCTTCAATCTTCAATAAGTTCCTCATTAGCTGGGGTAGAATCCGTTTAAAAAATGCTTAGAGGATCTCCTTACTTCAATTTAAAAAATCTTTCCTAACCTTTAGAGCGACTTAACTCACATACAGTATTGGCCAATACAATAGCACCCCCATTTCAAAGTGATATTGTTCGCCACTCATGTTTATTTATTTTTTTTTTAAGAATTTTCAATTAAAATACAGTTCATTCTCTGACAAAACTCACATAAACTTAAGTTTAAAACTTTTTAAAAGTCCGCAAAAAAGTGCAACAAATTTTCACCCAAATTTCAAACTTTTTTCTCAGAAGCGGTAGAATTTTTTTTGAATACGCAGTTTTATAGCCCATTGGATTTTAGTCTAATAATGTGCAGGTTTCAAGTGGCTAAAAATTACCGATGATTTTTTAAATTTTTTATTCGCCGAGGATGTTGCGGGTTTCTGCCATATAAAAATAAATTGTGTTTAGTCGTTATATGGAAGCAAATAAGACAAAAAAAATTCTAAAAAATCAACGGTAATCTTTAGCGACTTGAAACTTCCACATTATTGGACAAAATTGAATTGCGCTATAAAACTGTGTACTCAAAAAAATTCTAGAGCTACTGAGAAAAAAGTTTGAAATTTAAGGGAAAGTTTGTTGCACTTTTTTGCGGTCTTTTAAAAAGTTTAAAACATTGGTTTATATGGGTTCTGTTAGAGAATGAACAGTATTTTAATTGAAAATTCTTAAAAATAAATAATGAGACATAAGTGGCAAACAATATCGCTTTGAAAGGGGGTTGCTATAGATATGTCCAATACTGTACTTCCGTATATAAAAGCAAATCTCCGTAATTACTTTCCAATTCTTCACGAAAAGTTTTAAATTTTCGATGCGTCAACGCTTATTCTTTACTTTACTTATTCTTTTCACTGCAATTTCCATTGCATAATTACGTTACCTTAGTAAAAATAAAACTCCGTGCTACGTTTGCAGTTTTTTTTTTGAGTGTATCGATGAGCTTTCGACACAAAACGTGATTGCGTAAGCGTGCGTATGAGTTGGACGAAGCTGCTATAGACTATAGCCAAATGGGAATCGAAGAAGCTTTGTTTTTTGTTTAATTTTCACTACTGAAGAAAATTGGCGAAAAAGACAAAAAACACACTTTGAGAAGTTTACTTTTTTATTCAGCTTTTTATAAAGCAACACCCTTTGCAAGCAAGTCTAGAGAAAATAATGGGAATTGCGTTAAGTAACTTCGAAAGCATTTTAAATATATTTACAGAAATCAAATAGCGAATATGGTTCAAAAGCTATTGTCTCAATTATAGAAAATGCGATATTTTCTTGCTTTTGAACACTTTTCACTAGAATTGTTTATTCTTCAAAATGAAAGCGAAGCTACTCTCATGCCTACAAGTAAAGGTAAAGGAAAAAGAAAACAACTAAAAATGCATCTGATAAAAATATGATTGCACCTAAAATCAAGTGATTGTACCTAACGTACCTTTAAGTCAGCAAACGTTGGAAAATGGTACAATTGTACCAAATTTTTCATCCCTGTTCCCCATACAAGTTGCAACTCACTAAGCAGCCTTTCACTCCACATTCGCCACGCCATTCGAATATGGTTGCATTGTTCCGCTCGTATGCTCATAGTGAATTTGTGCTTATCATACGAGCAGTCGCTCCTAGGTTCAATGCACAAAACCAAATTTTATTCTAATGGTAGTTGTGATTCGCCAGTAAACGGTGCGCACTATACGCAACTCACAAAAGTGCATTCGTATCAGTGGCGGCCATTATACCCCACAAATCGAAGAAACTTGGCCTAAACCCCTTTCAAGGCTATTGTAGGAAAGTATCTACCATTATTATGCT